CTCTCTCTCTCTTCTCTCTTTCTCTCTTATTTTATTGATATTCTTCACATCACAAATATACTTATATCTATAATGTACAATTTGCATAACATTTTCCCCACCCTCCCTTTCCCTCAACTTCCATTTCTGATTTATTATCCTCATTATTATATTCTGCTGTTTTTTAAGGAGACTCCTATTCTCCCCCCTTTTCTACAATTCCCAGAGTTCCCTGGGACAAGGGATTGACTGTTAAACTGCTCTGAGAACTGTAGCTCTGTGTGGGGACTAGGGGGTCATATCTGGAAGCAGCTGGGCCAAGGTTGGGACTGTATTTTTTTTTTTTTTGGAAGATTTTAAAATTACAAAGAAACAAAGAAAAAAGTAGACAAAAAAAATATTTAACAATACAAGTCAATAAAAACAAAAATCAAAGAGAAAAACAAATCACCCAAATACATCAAAATCAAAAAGCAAAAATAAACAGAAAATTTAAAAACAAATCCAATATTCCCAAATCTTTATCTTTCATTAACTTGTTTCATGGACCTCCTCACACCTTCCTTTTTTGTATTCTAGTTATTGATTATCACAGCAAATCCTTCCCATTTTTCATAATATTCTATCATTAAATTACCTTAATCTATTTTAACCTTATCTTACTATAAAAAACCCTAAAACTTAAAGCTTGAGTCTTATCTATACCAATTTCTCATAACCATGACATGTTCTTGCATAGTTCTTTTTAACATTTCTGCTAAAGCCAAATAAATTCGTTCCAACATCTTTTTTAATACTCATTAATTTTAAAAAACATTCCTAAATAGAATTTTTGAAACTTTCTCCAATCTTCATCCAACGTCTCTTCCTCCTGGTCACGGGTTTTGTCAGTCCTTTCTATCCCATCCATCTAGTTCATTAACCTGGTGACCTTATGTCCGAGGCCCTTAAGTCTCTTCCATGTCCCTTCCGCAGATCTTCTTCATATTTATACCCGTACTTTACTTTGTCTTCTGCACCTTTCACACGTGGAGACTCCAACTTGACAATATTTTTATCCCTTCTCGACAGATCAGCCCCTTTTCCATAGTCCACACTGAACTCCATATGGTATTTAAAAACATTTTTCAAAATCCCTCCAAAATTGAGGACCCCCACAACTCCAAACTCCTCCCGACCCAACGCCAGACTTGAAAAGTCAAAACATCCCTGCATAGGGGGGTCTATCCAGCCCCCCATCTCCAAACCAAACAAGACTCTATCTCTCCAAGTCTGGCTTTTTCCAAGTTCATTTGTCAAATCCAACAACTCGTGTTCCTGCTGGGCCACAGCTCCCTCCATCTCTGCCACCCAAGGTCCAACAACGATCTCCTCCTTCATCTGATCTGTCAGAGCACATTCCTGATTTGATTCCTGAGTGGGTCCTATATAGGTACCCACTACCTGTCCAAAATTTCTGATCGCAACAGTCATCAAGTCCATCTTCTCATGTAACTGTTCCAATAGGGCACTTGTTTTACAGAAAGCACGCACCAGAGCCTCTGAGCACATTGTTATACAAGGTCGGAAGTCTATTCCCACGATCTTAATCTGTTGCAGCTGTTCCCCAGTTCAAGTTTAGTAACAGTTTCACAAGCTCCCTCTAGGGGAAGAACTTCTCTTTGTATCCAACTCTTATCTTTTTCTTTTTTTTTAACAGCAGATCTAACAACAAAGTTTCCTTTTTCAGATATTTTGTCAATATTTGTACCTTTAAATTGCGAAAGAGCACAATGGAATCACTATGTTTCTCTTCTTTTAACTGTCAAAAACCTTTGTCTATAGTCAATGAACTTTCCCAAAAGCGTTTGTCCTGACACCCCGCTCCCAGGTTCAAGACGGTGGAAAATTACTTTTCTTACACTCTCTTCTGCAGGTTTAAGCAATCCGGAAAAAATCCCCCCTCTTCTCCTGCTTCCGAAGGGGGTTCAGTAATTTTAGATGATGAAAGTTGATCCTTTACAAATGATTTTCTACACTCTAGTTTGCCATGTCTTTGCTTTAATCTATCTACAAGAAACGGAAGGCTGACTTCCTGTTTAGACCTTCCCGCTTCAGTGCCAAATTAAGAGGAATTTCTTAATCCAATTTTCGGTTCTACTCACAGATCGTTGTTTAAAGTCCAATTGTCCAAATTTGATCTGCTCACGGGTAGTTGTTTTGTAGCCAAATTGTCCCAGGAAAAAGGTAGCGCTCTCCGGCAATGGCTGTGCGGCTTCGCTCCACGGAAGAAGCAGTTGACTCTCAGCACCGCGCCACTAACCCCTCTTTGCTCCGGAGCCCGTAATTGGGTTCCTTTACGAATTGGGGGGGGCGCAAAAGGTGCCCGCCGAGTCCCATGGTCACAGGCTTCATTCGCCTGTGATTTTTTAAAGGGTCCCCGCTTCGCCGTAGTGGAACAGACCCGATTCCCGTGGAGCCAGTCCCTCCAGATCAGAGGGAATCCGCCATTACCGATGGCGCCACCCCGGAAGTCTCCAAGGTTGGGACTGTATTGACAAACTGCCAGGGACACAGGATTGGCTCCAGCACTCAGTCACACCAAGTATGCTGCATTTAGTGCTGGTGTTTGAACCACCCCGCAAGCTGCTATTGGTTGCTTATTAGACTGCTTCCTTCAAAATTGGAGGAACATTTCAATGAGGGAAATATTTTTTAAAAGACATCCATGTCGCTCAAAGCAAATAGATTTTATTTATGGTTTGGTGGCCTTTTATTAAAGATACTAATGACAATCACGGTGCAGGCCAATTACCATCCATTCAAAGACAGATATGACTATCATAGCATCAATGTATGAGCATCAAATAGCATCACGAGAACAGGTTGTTGGTCTTCTTCTGTATCTGTTAGAATTCCTGCTCCGTGATTGCTGTCTTGGGATTGTTGTCTATCACATGACGGTATATGTTTTGACTCCACAAAGTGGGAAGTGACGGAGACAGGATGTTTGTGTTACTGTGTTCCGTGAAGTGGGACTATTGTCCTTTGTTCTTTTCCTCTCTTTGCTGTCTGATGCTAGAGAGAGAGGGAGCCATGTTGCAGTGCTCTGTGTGTGTTTATATGTAAATAAAGTAGATTAGCCAAAATGCTGAGTTGCTGAGGTCTGTCACGCAGGCTGCGAAGACTCTGCGGATCCCTAAGTGTGCCAGTGTTGGTTGGCATCAGTTGCTGTGATGTTCGGGCTGAAGAAAGCTAATGAAGCTCCCGAACAATTGACCAAGAGGGAGAGAACATGCCAGTCGGGCATGTGTATCTGCCAAGGTCCTATTCAAGTGTAGGACAATCTCCTGACAATCTCCACTGCAGTGGAGAAATGAAACTCCACCCAGACTCCTTCTGATGACTCCAAGTAACAAAACAAAACCAAGAGCCTAATAATTATTAAATAACTTGTAATCTAACTGTATGACTGAGGGCTAGGGAGGTGAGGGAGTGGGGATTATGGGATGCCTCTTTTTCTGTTATGTCATATTTTCATTTTTAGCTTCATAAAATTATAAAACACAATAAAAAGAAAGAGACCTGTCTCATGCTCAAGCCCCACCCCAGGCAGTGGTGGCAAAATTACCTTCTCTTCCTTTAGCTGAGATTCCTGCATTGCAGGGGGTTAGACTATACAACCCTCAGGGGTCTCTTCTAACCCTATGATTCCTTGTCAGGTGCTTCAAAGATCACCCAATCCATTCCCTGCTCCATGGCCTGTGAAGGAATCTTCTACTACTACGTCCCTGAGAGCCGGGCAGGCAGCCTTCTGCTTTAAAACCTCTACGAAAGAGACTTCACCACTTTCCAAGGCAGAGAAATCCCTTTTGCCTCAAAAGGTTGTGACACACAGTAAGGCAGAGGCAATACAGAAAGAAAATATTTTGCTCTTAGGAAGGCACTAGAGGGCACTGTGGCAACTTTCTAGGACAGCAGCCTATGTATCCTTGGATGAAGAGTACGGGAGTAGAAAAAACTAAAAATCATATTTCTGCCTTCAGTGCTGATGGAGAGCTCAGAAAACAAGCCAAAGAAAGGGGGAAGGGGAAGGGGAAGGGGAAGGGGAAGAAGAAGAAGAAGAAGAAGAAGAAGAAGAAGAAGAAGAAGAAGAAGAAGAAGAAGAAGAAATATATTTGGCAGAGGACAGCAAAAAATCTACAGGTTCTGCTGCTATCCTCATTCATCTTATAGCCAAATAATCCTACAGTGGACAAACCTTGTGAGTAAGGGTGAGCAAAGCTGTCAATGTCCGTTTCTCTTCCTTTCTCATTTTTTCAATCTTCCAAGGTCACATTTTGACAACACTCTACAACTTTTCGAAAGGCCTCTCATCAGCATTTCAGTGTGAATTCCTTATACTATTTTTGCACGCCAGCCACAGTGTGAGATTCCAGGGGTTTCCAGACACTTTGCCCAGGGTTCGTGTTTCCTTTTAGAAATGAGGCATAGTGGAGACTGTGGCCTTTGGTTTATTTACACATATATACAACCTAAGCCTATGGAGGAGGGGTTCACAGCATTAACATCCCAAGAGAGTCTTGTTTCTTTCATAGGTTCCGTGATGGATTCAAACAGACACCAGCCATTGTGCACTTGCAGACTCTCCAAGTGTCCCTATTTTCCAGGGATATCCCTGAAAAGGGAGTGCCTGATCACCTCATCTGTCTGCTGAGAAATCTCTGTGTGGGACAAGAAGCTACAGTTAGAACTGGATATGGAACAACTGATTGGTTCAAAATTGGGAAAGGAGTATGACAAGGCTGTATATTGTCTCCCTGCTTATTTAACTTATATGCAGAATTTATCATGCGAAAGGCTGGGCTGGATGAATCCAAAACCAGAATTAAGATTGCTGGAAGAAATATCAACAACCTCAGATATGCAGATGACACAACACTGATGGCAGAAAGTGAGGAGGAATTAAAGAACCTTTTAATGAGGGTGCAAGAGGAGATCGCAAAATATGGTTTGAAGCTCAACATCAAAAAACCGAAGATCATGGCCACTGGTCCCATCACCTCCTGGCAAATAGAAGGGGAAGAAATGGAGGCAGTGAGAGATTTTACTTTATAGGGCTCCATGATCACTGCAGATGGTGACAGCAGCCATGAAAATAAAAGACGCCTGCTTCTTGGGAGAAAAGCAATGACAAACCTAGACAGCATCTTAAAAAGCAGAGACATCACCTTGCCAACAAAGGTCCGTATAATTAAAGCTATGGTTTTCCCAGTAGTGATGTATGGAAGTGAGAGCTGGACCATAAAGAAGGCTGATTGCTGAAGAATTGATGCTTTTGAATTATGGTGCTGGAGGAGACTCTTGAGAGTCCCATGGACTACAAGAAGATCAAACCTATCCATTTTGAAGGAAATCAGCCCTGAGTGCTCACTGGAAGGACAGATCGTGAAGCTGAGAGTCCAATACTTTGGCCACCTCATGAGAAGAGGAGACTCCCTGGAAAAGACCCTGATGTTGGGAAAGATGGAGGGCACAAGGAGAAGGGGATGACAGAGGATGAGATGGTTGGATAATGTTCTCGAAGCTACCTGCATGAGTTTGACCAAACTGCAGGAGGCAGTGGAAGACAGGAGTGCCTGGCATGCTCTGGTCCATGGGATCACGAAGAGCCGGACACGACTAAATGCTAAGCAACAAATTTTCATTGGAGAAATGTTGGAGGGTATGGAGTTATCCGACCCCACCCCCAAGTAGTCTGAAGGCAATCCTGCATAGGGAAGTTTTTTAAAATGTTTATTTTATTTATTTATTTATTATTTTCATTTCTAGACCACTTTATATTTTGAAGAAAAATCTCAAAGTGGTTTACAGCATATTAAACATCAATAAAACAATCCAGAATCAAACATTTCTGAAGAAAGTCAAATATAAAGTATACAGTCAAATCAACATAATTAACAGGAAACTAAAATATTATCTTAAAGATTTCAAAATAAAACATTACAAAGGACAAGAGAATAAAATATTATCATAAGCATGACACGGCTGTTTAAGATTTTATTATGTTTTTATATATGTTGGAAGCTGCCCAGAGTGGCTGGGACAACCCAGTAAGTTGTGTGGGGCATAAATAGTAAAATTATCATTATGGAAGTGTGGGACGTCCCTATTTTCATCGGAGAAATGTTGGAGGATATGCAGCTATGTTTTCCCCACTGTCCCAGTAAATGGTGATCTGTGGGCACAAAAATGGCTCAGACATTAACTGCTGCCGGAGGCAGAGACAACTAGAGGTGGGACTAATTCAAAGCACTCTCTTTCTCTCTCTCCTGGCAAATAGGAGATCAGTCCTGTCAAAGCTGATAGAATAGTGCATCTGCTAAGCTGGAAGCTCTTTGCCCTCTGAAGCAACCACAAAGCTCACTGCCACACATAAGAATGTTTGGACGAGGGCCAATGAGAATACAAAAAATAACCAGTCAAGTTTCTTCATTTTCCAGTGACTTGGTAGGGAAATAGGAAGTTTGTTTAATACCAGTTTAGAGGGCCTGGTCTGCAGGATAAGCTGCAGGCCAGAACTGCGTGCTCTTGGATTAAAGAGGAAGAGAATCCTATTGTTGTTGCTGTTGGATTTCTATCACACTCTTCAGGCAAAAAGAGCTCTTTTTACAATCTAAAAAGACATGACACCAAAGGAAAATGGATCAGGAGGGAGGAGGAAATAAGCAAAGTCAGGTAGTTGTTAGTTACACATTCATCTACTGACCAGCTGGGGTGGAAAAAGCTGAAGGCCTTTCAGGTGACTGGGCTGGAAAGCTCTGGAAGGTTGGAGGGGAGCCCCCAGAACAAATTTAGGGGGCAAGAGGCAAGGGGAGAGATGGGAGAAAGTTCTAGGAAAATCCTTGCACTGCTGGAATATTCTCTTTAGTGCTACTTTGAATACAAACCATTATGCCTCCCTCCCCTTTAAAAGAAAGTCTGTTGATTTTATCTGCATTTTCTTTTGAATGTTTTGTATTATTTTATGTTAAGCACACACAGCCGTCTCATTAACTGGTTTATAACTTTGGTTAAATAAAAAGCATAATGCTACATGCTTTTTATTCTTGAAGGTGTATGAAGGCAGCACTTGCAAAGGAGTGCAGAATGCTTCTCCAGAATACTAAAGCGTGCATTGTTGTGTGCTAGTGAAGAAATAAAAAAGTTGCACACGGTGATAGTGATTGCTGCCACATGCAAATGAAGTTAGGATCTCCCACAATCCTTTGGCCCCCTTCTCCCCAAGCGGGCTGTGGTATCCAGCCAGATGGGTGCCATTTGTACTGGGGAGGGCAGTTTCTCTTGATAAGAAAGAACTTCACGTCCAGCTGCCCATCTGCTAGTTATCCACACTCCTCTGAAATGAAGTGGCCTTTGCATATTTATACTTTTGCTCTGCCTGCTGCTCTGCGAGAAACAATTAAACGATCACTCAGGCGTTTCTCTCCCCTCAGGCCATTAGAATGAAATTAGAAGGCATGAGAGGGGATTGTATTTTCTGCCACACATAGATTGCTGTGAGTTCCGCAAAGGAGTAAGGGTAGAGACAGATGCAGCAGAACAGCAGTCACAGTTTGCACAACAGACAGATGCACCGATGACTAAAGCTGAGCAAATATGTCAGTTTTGGTTTCTCATTTCCCCACCCTTCACTTCTCCACATTTCAGCATCCGTTTGTGAACATACATAATTTTGCAAAGCAGTTTTCCCCAGCATAATGTTTTTTGGCACACGTGTTCCCAAAATAATATTGCTGTTCACGTTGCAAAATTAGGAGACGTGTGAATTTCAGAGGGTGGCTGCATTTCGATTTGCAAATTGATTTGGTTCTCTGCATTACAAACCTTGGTGCCAATTAAAAAGAGAGAAAGAGAAGAGGAAACTCTTATTCGGACCAGAATAAACACACCTGTTTACAAAAAGCAGGAAAACATCGTTGATACTACCTAAGTCTTTGCTGCAACAAAACCTGTAAATTATCTTTGCAATTCACATCCCCATTGGTGAGTTTCCCATCAGCTTCACTGCAGTCTATATGTTTACCTGCCAAACTCTAGGACAAAGTGTCTCTTTGACCAGGATATCAGTGATTCAGATATCCATGATTTTTTTTCTCCCTGCTGCTACATGCCTGCTGCGAGACACTGCATCCTTGCAAGCATATCTATTTCAGATCCGGATCTTTAAAGAAAAACAACATTCATTTGTTCCGAGCCTTGTCTGTTTTATTGGGGGGGACAACACCATTTTAAGAAGGATGTTGATAAGTTACAAGGGGAGAACTTTGAGGATTCTGAAAGGGTTAGAAGACAAATCACTCCTTGGTCTGTTTAGTCTAGAGAACAGATGAGCGTAGGGGAAATATGTTGACAGTTCTAAAATATTTACAAGGATGTTGGAAAGAAGTGAGGGAACAAATGTTCACACTCTCCACTGAAGACAGGAGACAAAGCCATGAGTTTGAACTATTCGGAACCTTCAGCGAGTCTTCTAACTTTAATTCCATTTAGCACGGGAGTTTGGTATTAATCACTAACACACACACGTAGATTGCACCAACCTTGGTGATTGTCAAAATTTGGAACGGGGGAGTGGGGTGGGGAAGGAAATTGGAAAGTAAAGAAGAGGCATATTAGCACATAAGCATAAGCTGGATGGCCATGGATGCTTTAGCCGGGATTCCTGTATTGGGGTCTCTTCTAACCCTACAATCTAGACACTGACTGTGGGGCCGATGCAGAGGAGGAATGAAGAAGCCATAGGGATTAAACGTTTCATAGATGCAGTTATACGTACCTAGGCTTCATTTCAGCAATGTATGAAGACTATTTCATCATTATAGCCATATGGTAGGTTCACAGGGACATTATAAATATCAAGGTTGAGCCATGGCAGAGAGAACTGTTAACTTCTGTACAGGAGCAAGCAAGTGGAATCAAACCAAACTCTGATGTGAGTTACGCTCCCCCCCTCACCCATCCCCACTAGACCCAGCTAGGCCAGTCCTCCTCCTATTAACATTTTGCTGGAAATGTTTCAAAAAGAGAAAAGGTGCAGATGATGGAGAAATGTATCTGGAAAGAGAGGACCTCAGGGTTACACCTCTCTCTGTACATCAGGATCCTTTTCAGCCCAGTGGGTTGGATTCTTAACTCCCTCTCACCCTTGGGGAGCCACTTTGAGAGGTGGGCTGAGCCTCCGACTGTGATGCTAGGTGACCCTTCCCACCCCTGCCACCCAATTTGCAGCATGGCTTGAGTTCGAGTCATGCTGCAAAGGAAGACCTCAGCTAATGAAACCAGGGCTTGAAATCATGGTTTGGATCAGCTGCGCTCTTTTTTAAAAACAACAACATATTTTTTATTAAAGATTTATTGGTTTACAAAAGTATGTGCAATGTCTCTTTTTTCAAGTTACATTTTCTACATACCTGTATCACAACATCTTCCAAGATAATAATGCCCACTCTCGTCATAAAGAGCTCATAACCCACCTATGCTCAGCAGACAGAAACATCATAGCCAGACACTGGAGAGATATGTCAGGAGTAAGCAATGGTACCAAATAGTGTGGGAAACAGCCTTATTAAAAAAACTAACCAATAAGCTGAAACTGACAGGGGGACAAATAGAAGAAGGCGCCTTCACCTTGCCATGACTCCCCTTTATCACATACACAGCCCAACAAGACGACAAGAACCCACCAACAGCATATGAATCATGTTAGGTTTGCTTCATGTTACATTTTTTCAGGTTGTGTCCTGCGGCGACCCGGAAGTACTGGAAAGGGTTACTTCCGGGTTTCGCCGCTCGTGCATGTGCACACATGCAAAATGACGTCACACACATGCACAGAAGCGGCAAATCGCAACCCGCACGTGTGCAGACTCGCCGCTGTGGGTTGCGTTCCTTTCATGTTTTGAACGGGCCTCCGGAACGGATCCGGAGTTCGACGCACAAGCGACACTGACACAAAACCCCACACATACATCAGCTGCGCTCTTGAGTTCTTGATTAGAGAACCTTTGGAGTGGAGCCGGGCCCAATGAGGCTTAAAGAAGAGCTAATTGGCTGATTAGCGCTGACTTTGCACCCTGCTGTTCATCAGAGATTGGAGCCACTCAGGAGCTCTGATTGGGAGCTCCCACGTGAAACCGGTCCCAGGAGCACTGGCATTGGTTGCCAAATTCAACAGATGCTGAACACAAGTGCCACTTGCTAGGAGCAAGCCGGAGCTCTTTCTAAGGCTCCGGACGGTTCCTATGCAGCTGTGTCTTTACCTGCCCTGAATCTGACATCATTCTAGATTCAGGTGGGTAGCCATATTGGTCTGACGTAGTCAAAATAAAAATAAAAATAATAAAAATTGTCCAGTAGCACCTTATATAGACCAACTAAGTTTGTTCTGGTATAAGCTTTCGTCTGCATGCACACTTCTTCAAAACTTATACCAGAACAAACTTTGTTGGTCTATAAGGTGCTACTGGACAAATTTCTTTTTTTATTCTTTTTATTTCAATGTACAGTGGTACCTCAGGTTAAGAACTTAATTCGTTCTGGAGGTCCGCTCTTAACCTGAAACTGTTCTTAACCTGAAGTACTGCTTTAGCTAATGGGGCCTCCTGTTGCTGCCACGCCACCACCGCACGATTTCTGTTCTCATACTGAAGCAAAGTTCTTAACCTGAGGTACTATTTCTGGGTTACTGGAGTCTGTAACCTGAAGAGTATGAAACCCAAGGTACCACGGTATATATGATGTTAGATGTTCAGTGTGTGGGTGTGACGTGGGGGAAATGGCCTCATGAGCCAAATTAGGACCCCTGCCGCGCCTAATGAGGCCCCCAAAGCCACCAAATTCTGTACCACTGCCATACCTACAGTGGTGCCTCGCAAGACGAATGCCTCGCAAGACGAAAAACGTGCAAGACGAAAGAGTTTTCCGTTTTTTGAGTCGTTCCGCAAGACGAATTTCCCTATGGGCTTGCTTCGCAAGACGAAACATCTTGCGAGTTCTTGCGAGTTTGTTTCCTTTTCTTAAAGCCGCTAAGCCGTTAATAGCCGCTAAGCCGCTAAGCCGTTAATAGCCGCTAAGCCGCTAATAGCCGTGCTTCGCAAGACGAAAAAACCGCAAGACGAAGAGACTCGCAGAACGGATTAATTTCGTCTTGCGAGGCACCACAGTATTTCTCTCTCTCCTCCTTAGCTTCTGCTCTTTTATATTTTGTAAACAATATGTATTGCTTTGTAGAATTTGATTTCATTGGTTTCAGACTGATGCATTTTTCAGGCATTTTTTTGTATTTTATTTTTTGGTACTCGACACACCTTGCGGTATTTTGTTCTACATGAAATATCTCTGTTGCTTTTGTATGGCACCCGCTCTGGGACCGTCACTTAAGACCCCGCGTTCCAAATATCTTATTTCCGACAAGGAGAAAAGAAATGATAATGAAAGCAACAGGAGCAGAAAACGTGAACTATAAAGATCTCTACAGGGCCTTGGAGGTGCACCGAGCCTGAAACCCTGCAGGATTCCATTGATATCTGCATTATTATGACGCAGCTTTTCCAACTGCCTTCTCGGCTGGCGGGATGCGCTGCATCAACGGCGCAGACAACGGTACGGCAATGCTCCATTGCCCTTCTCATGTGCCAGCCGCATGATTTGTAGTATGGTGCAAGTCTGTGGAGCAATGGTTATTTTTGCAGTGGCAAACACAGCCGGTATCAGAAAAGGATAAAAATTAATAGTTTAGCAATAGGGTGCTTTAGTTGAGATTCCAAGCATTGCAGGGGGTTAGACTTGATGACCCCATGGCTCCCTTCCAACTTTGCAATTCTACAAATCTATGATTCTAATATGCAAAACTCTGCCAGGATATTTCCTTCCAACCCTAATGGCTGTACAAGTTGTTGACGTCCATCTGTGTCGGGCATAGGCACCAGCTCCTGGGGCTAAGGGGGTTTCAGCCCCCACAATAAAATATTTGAGGGGGCTCCCCCCCCAGTTAATGGGCATTGGCATTAAAATGGTGTGCGTGACCGTGTCATGTGATTGATTATGTGGAGCGAGGCTTACCTTCCCACCCCCGTATTTTATTTGTTGGCACCCCTGGTCTCAGGAGACAACAGAGGAGTGCGCCTTTGGAGGTGAAGTCAAACTCTTGGCACCTGCTGTGGCTGTAGAGGCCAATGTAGGAGAGACATGTTTTAATAATAATAATAATAATAATAATAATAATAATAATAATTTTTAATTTATATCCCGCCTATCTGGCGGGGTTTACCCAGCCACTTTGATTGGTTGGCTTACAACATATATATATATATATGTATATATATATATATGTGTGTGTGTGTGTGTGTATAAACATCAAACATTAAAAACAAAATATCCTATACAAGCAACAAACCAAGAAACCAATAGAAACCAACAACAACAATAACAGTAATAACAACAATAACAATAATATTACTACACAGTTTACAGTTATACCCAAATTAAAGTAACCGCCAACCCCAACTAAACATTTAACCAACACTAACCCAACAAAAACGAAACAGAGAAAGCAAAATTAGAACCGTTTAAAACATTTCAAAACATTTCAACCAGTTGCCCCAACCACGAGTTGTTCCAGCAATGTCCCATTGCCCTCTCAGGGCTGTTCAAGGTGAGTGTGGGCCCCGCCCCCTAGGCCAGATGGAAATGAGCTTTGCAGCTGGCGCAGATGAAGGCGTCCGGTTGCGCTGCTGCCGCTGCACCACGGTGTTCCTTCTCTCTACGGGGTGCTTGCTCTGCCAGCCTCCCTCCCTCCTTACCTTAGGTGCCAGCCAGGCACCCGACTCTTCTTTGCTTGTTGCCGCTGACCAGTCGTGCTTGCCGGTGCTCTGGTTGCAACCATGATCTTTTTTTTGGGGGGGGTGGCCCCCTGAGGGGACTGGGCCTCCAGAGGAAAATTATTGCCAGGGCCCAAGGCACCCCAGCCTCATAAAGTTGGCACGCCTGCCAGGTGGTCATTCTTCCTCTGCACCTTTTGTGCGTGCTTTACTGTCGAATGATATTTTAGGATTAGAAATGTAAGAAGCTGCCTTATACTGATTCCAGCCCCTTGTCCATCTAGGTCAGTGCTTTCTACACTGACTGTCAGAAGCTCTCCATCGATTCAGGCAGGAGTCTCTCTCAGTCGTGTCTGGAGAAGCTGTCTCACGGAGCTACAGCCCAACCCAAAGTTACAAAGAATGGGTTACTAGAGTAATGCAGAATGAGTGATGGGAGTGAGCTGGCAGTAAAACATACCAAGTAAATCGGAGTTAATGCTTTATTAGCAAAAACAGGATCTGCACAAGAGTATCAGGCCTAATGAGCATAGCAACTTCTCTCCAGTAGGTCTTGCCTTCATGAAGCAGCTGCTGAGACTGAATGTCCTCACCTCCCCACAGCTGCCTAGTCTCCTCTCCAGGGTTTTCCCCAAGCAGTTGGAAACTGTGTCTGCATGAAGCTAACTTCTCCACCCTCTTCACACCTCTCCTGGTTCTGGGAGACCAGGGGGAGGGGAGCTTGTCACAGCAGGAAGGGGAGACACCTGTGACTCTTCACCAGCTGGACTCATCTCTGCCTCTTGGCCTCCCTCCTCTCCAGCCTCTGCTTCTGCCTCTGATTCTGGACTGCTCTCTGCCACAGACTCCCCCTGCTCACTAAGCCCTGTTACCTCTCCAGCTTCCTTTTCCGTCTTCTCCCTCTGACTACTCATCAACGTCCAACCACCAATCCACAGTCTTGGGGGTTTCCCAGCTGGTTCTTTGCACCATTTCTCTGAGGCCAACCAGTCCAGGACAATAAGCTGATTTTTACATTTACAGTGGTACCTCGGGTTACATACGCTTCAGGTTACATACGCTTCAGGTTACAGAGTCCGCTAACCCAAAAATAGTGCTTTAGGTTAAGAACTTTGCTTCAGGATGAGAACAGAAATCGTGTTCCAGAGGCGCAGCAGCAGCGGGAGGCCCCATTAGCTAAAGTGGTGCTTCAAGTTAAGAACAGTTTCCGGTTAAGAACAGACCTCCGGAATGAATTAAATACTTAACCCGAGGTACCACTGTACATTTAATAAACTACAATGCATTAAAAAAGCCACACACACAAATAATTTGACTCTACTGTACTTACTGAACAGTTGGCACCTCACCACTGCTTAGGAGAAATGGACACCTGATGTCAAAGTGTCATGGTTTGAAAACCCACGCTTGTTAATACTGTATACCACAAAGAGACTGCAGGCACTCATCACTACTGCCTACATGACTCCTTTTTCTTGTTTTTATCTCTGCCACAGGCCTTAATCTTGTAGAATTTCCTGAATGGGAAGTGCTGCATCATTTTCGGTAACGATGATTTGGGAACGGAAGAATTTGCATTGGAGATGTGCAATGCTTTCACTTGGGAGCCTCTTTTAATTACGGGCCTGCGTTTCACATTCATTTTGCTCGACCATTAGAAGAGAGATAAAAAATCATTACCAATAATTAATGGCATTCTTTGGCTTTTTCTTCTTTTCAAAGGACAGCATTTGTTTTCAATAAAAGGGAAAAAAAGCTTGTAATTGCATTACTGTGATTAAAATGCGGTGTGGAGTTTCAATCAACCTTGCCATCGCTGTAGTGCCTCTTGATTCAGCACAAACTTATTAATTCTTTTCTGGAGATTATCCTTAGTTATATTGGACAAATTACAATTTATGCCTGCCTTTACTGTGCACTACACTCACATCACAGAGCACAAAAGGAAAGATGTGCTCTGGATTTCGGCTTCCACGAGCGTTGCCAAGTCACTGTTAAAGCTTGGATCATAAATCACCACCAGGATTTCACCTATGGCAGAAAAAAAAAATTACTTTGGTACATTGTTCCGTGGTGCTGCTTCACAGAAGAAACAGAAGCTGTGATATTAAAGCAAGGAGTAGATCTTTTAAACCTTGCAATTTAATGCTTTAGCCATCTACTCTAGCTAACTGCGTCATCTAATCCTGTTCAGAGCAAGTTGATATGACTTGGGAAAGGCACCTGTCCTCTTCTAAGGTTATTTGAAAAATCTTTACTAGAGAAGCAACACTTAATTGAACAATTGGTCAGAGATTAATAGATTCAAATGTACTGAATCTGCTAAAACATCACACAAAAATACTTTTATAAGTTTTGTTTAAAATCTAGACTGCTGGCTGCATTTGCATGTAATGCTGACCTGTGGTTTGCTTTAACTATGGTTTGTTGCATAAACCAGGATTAGGCTTGCAGACAAAGTAATCATAGCTTGTTTTGCCTAATGTTGGTTTCATTTTCTAACTGCCCCTGCTTCATTCCTTTGCAGCCGTATGGACAGCAGGGATGAGGCGCTGACAGCAACCAGGATTAAATTTAGTGGCTTTAGACATACCGAGGTTTTTAAAAGTATATTATTATTATTATTATTATTATTATTATTATTAGTTTGTTGCTGTAAATATAAACATTCCATTCCATTGATTAATTGTGGGCTTTGGAATTATACCTCTTTGCCGCATAAGCATGTAGTTTTATTCTGAGATGTCACTGCAGTTTCAAAGTCACGTCTCCTTGATAATTGTAAAGGTAAAAAAAGGTAAAGGACCCCTGGATGGTTAAGTCCAGCCAAAGACGACTGTGGGGTTGTGGCGCCCATCTCGCTTTCAGGCCGAGGGAGCCGGCGTTTGTCCACAGATAACTTTCTGGGTCATGTGGCAAGCATGACTAAACCACTTCTGGCACAACGGGACACTGTGACGGAAACCAGAGCACACAGAAATGCCGCTTACCTTCCCGCTACAGCAGCACCTATTTATCTACTTGCACTGGCATGCTTTCAGACTGTTAGGTTGGCAGGAGCTGGAACCGAGCAACGGGAGCTCACTCTGTCAAGGGGATTCGAACCGCTGACCTTCTGATTGGTAAGCGCAAGAGGCTCAGTGGTTTAGACCACAGCGCCACCTGCGTCCCTCTTCAATGATAGTAATATTTTGTGGAAGAAGTCAGATCGCTGAGTGGAGGCATAGGTCCTACTTCTGCCCAGCTGAAGTCTAAACCTTCTGCTAAAAACTAAGGAGAAATATGAGTCACCTTTCTTTGACTCGCTACCATAATCTCAATGGTTATGTTTCATTTATTATTCAGCAATATGCTTTCCCTTTTACTCGTGTTACTTTTCTCCAAAGCTTCTGAGTGATTAGATTCAAAATTGTTGTTTTGCAGGCCAAAATAATAATCGATAGCTTCTCATACAGCAGCAGCCACTCACATTTGAGGGCAAATAGGATGCATTAATAAAGTATTAGCTTGGAGCACATTCTAAAAAAAATATCAGTGGGACTGTGGCTGGGCACATACCTGAGAGCTGCACTGTGCATAGGAATATCGAAAGAACATTGCTGCATCAGACCAAAGACCTGTCTAGTCCAGCATCCTTTTCCCTTTAGTGGCCAATGAGATGTCTCTGGGGAAGCCCATAAGCAGGACATAAGGGCGATAACTCTTTCCTGTGTAGGTATCTGGAGGTGGTTGGAGGTTGGATGGTGGTCAATGGATTGAGGTGAATCTGTTGTACTGTTTCTGGGGGACAGGGTGTGGGCAGGTGTGGGGTACTCCCTGGTCCTGAATAGGGCAACTGTGCCTCTAAAGGACCAGGTGTGCAGCCTGGGAGTCATTTTGGACTCACAGCTGTCCATGGAAGCACAGATAATTCTGTGTCCAGGGCAGTTGTCTACCAGCTCCATCTGCTACGTCAGCTGAGACCCTCCAAATGTTCCTGTTTTCCAGAAGCCGCCCTGGTTTCTGATTTGATTCCGGAATTTGGTCACACTTTCCCTTAGGACGTCCCTATTTTCATTGGATAAATTTTGGGGGGTATAGAGTTATGCAGCCCGGAAGCAAAGGAGATAAGTAACTATACAACCTTTAGAAGACATTTGAAGGCAGCCCCCTATAGGGAAGTTTTTTATGTTTAATGTTTTATTATGTTTTTATATACAGCGGTACCTCAGGTTAAGTACTTAATTCATTCCGGAGGTCTGTTCTCAACCTGAAACTGTTCTTAACCTGAAGCACCACTTTAGCTAATGGGGCCTGCTGCACTGCCGGAGCACGATTTCTGTTCTCAACCTGAAGCAAAGTTCTTAACCCAAGGTACTATTTCTGGGTTAGCGGAGTCTGTAACCTGAAGCGTATGTAACCTGAAGCATATGTAACCCGACCTACCACTGTATGTTGGAAGCTGCCTAGAGTAGCTGGGGTAACCCAGCCAGATGGGTGGAGTATAAATAATAAAATGATGACAACAATGATGACGATGGAATAGGACATCCCTATTTTCATCAGAGAAATGTTGGAGGGTATGTGAGACCCTAACTGCCCGTGCACTGTCTCGACAGAGGGGTACATGCTCTAGTTATCTCCCACTTGGACTATTGCAATGTGCTCTGTGTGGGGCTACCTTTGAAGGCGACTTGGAAACTACAAGTACAACAGGCCTTTGCTGCTGTTAAAACTGTTAAGTTGTGGGTGAACATATCAGATGACACAGCGATTCTTCAAACAGCTCTTGTTTATTCACAGGCCAGAACAGAACTGAACTGAAGGGTTCAGCCAGCCTGCTTATATAGAGCTCCAGTACAACGCAGCAGTAACCACTTTCTGTAAGTATCCAATCACTGAACATCACTTTCAATCCCTTATTTGCATATGTGGACCTGAGTGAAAACTATCTACAGTATCCCCCTGCTGGCCCAGGGTGAGAACTTCAGTACATAACAAAAACATTATTTGATTAGCCAACCACATTAATGATTCTTTTGCACTGTTTTTTAACAGCGTTTTGTGTTTTTTTGTGCTATACACCTCTCTAATATTTTACGAGAGGGTGGCAAATAAATACTTTTATGAAATAGATAATAAATAGCTGCAGTCTTCCGCAGTAAGAACTAGATCAAACTAAAGGATCACCCAGTCCAGCATTATGATTCTAGGAACAGTTTTCACACCCACACCTGCTGTTCGTATACAAAGCGCAGACACAATGCTCTTGGGTGAATTCCTTATCCGTAATTTGTTAATTCACAGAGAGCGCCGCATATAAGCAAGCAGCTGAAGAAATTCCCCTAGCCAGGCCGCAAGCAATAAATCAGTCAAGCCCAGGCAGTGCACGAATGTATTACATAAGCAGGTAAATAAACAAGCACTGTAAACTGTAAAATACTGTAGCCATTTTCACCTTGTCAGCCTGAGACGTTGCAGTGCAATCAATACAGTGTGTAAGAAAGGTTACCTGCTACTACCTGAATAAATCCTTTCTAAAAATAAGGCCCAAATGGCCTACTTGGGTATGAGAAAAGAAAGGCATGACCTTTTTGTGGGATGGCAAGAACCAAACAACAACAAGGAACAATCCTGTCCAATGGCTGGGAGGCTCACAGACAAAATTTAGGAATAGGAATCATTTAAATATAGGGTTGAGCCTTGGTTTTCTTTGTCAAGTATTTAGGAAAGATATTTATGGGGTAGAACGGAGGATGAGCACACCAAAATGATCCTAAATTATGAACTACTTATATTTAGGAAAGTTGTGTGTTCGTTATGCATTGTAAATCTTAGGCTACAATTACGTTTTGCATGATGGTTAACAACAACAACAACAACAAATTTATATCCCGCCCATCTGGCTGGGTTTCCCCAGCCACTCTTCCTAAGATCAAGGAGGAGGTTTTCGTCTATGTCTGAATATATTTGGATGCCATTTTGATTCAAGATGGCAGATTGAACCTATCAAAACTGCTCTGATTTTAACCACTGATTTAAAAGCCGCACTGAAATCTTTTGGTTTCTTAGAATTCCTAAGCAACTGGAAACTTTATTACTAGAGTGTTGATCATGGGCAACACTCTGTGTTTATCACCTGCTCAAGATTGTTGATTGATTTAGGAACCTGCTGTTTTTGCGCAGGCCATTCTGTCCTTGTGGTGGTTTTTTGGGCAGGAAAGCTCAATTCAACAGCACTCTCTGCCTTTGTCTTTGCCATTTCCATTGACGGACTGGTGGAGATGAGGAAGAGTCATGGGACCATGTACACTTGTACTTCCAGCTTTCAAGGAGTGGAATATGAGACAGAAGCAGTGAAAATGCAATGGGGAGGGGAAAACAGCAGCTCTTTCATACCCTCCAACATTTCTCCAGTGAAAATAATGATCCCATAATGAAAATTTTACTATTTATACCCCACACATCTTACTGGGTTGTCCCAGCCACTCTGGGCAGCTTCCAACATATATAAAAACGTAATAAAACATTAAACATTAAAAAAGACACCCTTCCCTATACAAGATTGCCTTCAGACAGCTCGAGGGTCAGATAACTCCATACTCTCCAGCATTTCTCCAATGAAAATAGGGACATCCTAAGGAAAAGTGGGACATTCTGGGATCAAATCAGAAACTGGAACGGCTTCCCTAAATCAGCAAAGTCCCTGGAAAATAGAGACACTTGGAAGGTGTGCTTTAGGACAACGGACAGATCTCACTCCTCTGTGACTGTAAAAGCGGATCTATAGAATCGTTATATCATATAATCTTCTGTTGTCCATTACATTCGGCTTCACGGTCCAAGTTTCTGGCCCCATATTTATCGAGAATTGCTGACAGTCCTCAGGAAGCCCAAATAATATACTTATTAAACGACGAAGATACAAGTAGATCCCTTGCAATCGCTAGATACCTGATTAATGTTTTATTTCAAAAGAGGAGAAATGGATCACTGTATGTTTCTGACAGCTTAGCCAAACTTAAGAACCATCAATAAGTGCCAGAACTAAGACGTATACCCCCCAAAATCTGATGGATCGGAATTGTGGTTTACATAGAGGGAGCTTATTGTGTATAGTGTTTACTTAACTAAAGTAAAATTGGTTTTATAAGGGTGTTTTAACTTGGAACTGTTTAAATTGTATTGTTTATGGATAAATTCTGATGTATTGTTTTTGATATGGGCCAATGGCCGTAATAAATCTAAATCTGAATCTGTGCTTTAGGACCTTGGTGATTCTTATCACCTGGTGTCCAAACATCTCACTTGTCAATCACAACAATGACTTCACTTATTGGCTGAAAACACTGAAAAGTAGAAGCAGCAAGACTGGCACATTTCACAGAAAGTTACCTGCACATTTTGCTTCATATTTTTCTTTCTAGGAGGGCAAGAGACTTATTCTTTTTCAGAATGAAAGCTTCGTGTCTCAGGTTCACAGGTGTCCTTAGGCCTGGTACACTAGTACCCTCTGGACCTGCCTCTTGGCTGCCCCGTTGACAGCCAATCTACTTATTTCCTAAAAACATAGAATGAAAGAGTTGAAAGGGTCCACGAGGGTCATCTAGTCCAACCCCCTGCAGTGCAGGAATCGTTTGTGCAACCTGGGGCTTGAACCCACAACCCTGAGATCATCAGCCTCATGTTGTACTGACTGAGCTATCCCATCTTATTTTGAAGATTTTATACCTTGCCTTTCAGTGAAATGATTCTGAAGGCAGCTTACAAGAAGCTCATACGAATAATAACAAGCACAATATACATTTTAGCCCTCTGAATGATGGATGGAAACAGAACATGTATTACAGACCAAGAATAAGCTGGCCTTTGGCAAGGATGGGAGCTTCCCATTCCTGGCAGCTATTCCTTCTCAGGCCAGTAGATGGGGTCAGGGGAGTCTTTCCCTTGCTGTGATGTTCTGCCTTTAGCGCAGCAGGACCTGCCTTATGGAACTGAGTACCCACTGGCATTAGGCAGGAGGTACAACCTTTCAGTGGTTCTTGGTCACCGGGCCCAAATGTTTCTCTTTAGCAAATTGTGCAAGACTGTGAGATGGGGGACTGCAGTCTTTTTGTTCTTCTTTCCAGATTTGTGTTTGACTCTGCAGAGCTTTGGAATCATACATTGAGGTCTTGGTGGCGCTGAAGTGAGATGATTTTTGAGGATGCTTTCCGATGGTCTGTGGTCTGTTTCCAGCGGGACGAGGTGGCCATGAAAGCTCTAGCACCAAACATTGGCTGTTGAAACTTAGCTACTGATTCTGTTCCCTGTTGAAGGAGAATTATATGAAGATGATGTACAGATGGTATATGACACCAGTGCAGTTAGGGAAAATGTACAAAACTAGTTGAAATATATGGTGGAAGTGTAAGGAAAAGGAGGGGACATTTTATCATATGTGGTGGGACTGTAATGTAATTAAAAATTTTGGGGAAATGATATACAATGAATTGAAGAAAATGTTCCATTTAACATTTGTTTCAAAACCTGAAGCATTTTTGTTAGGGATTGTAGGGAAAGACCCGCCAAAAAAATTGAAAAACATCTTCATGTATGCGACAACGGCTGTGAGAGTCCTAATAGCACAAGGATGGAAGACTGAAGAAATTCCAACTAAAGAATCATGGCAAGAAAAATTGATGGACTATGCAGAGCTGGCAAAACTGACACACAAGCTACAGGACAAGGATAACTGTGACTTTAAAGATGAATGGGAACCCTTTACAAAGTAATTGAAGATGCAACAAAGTGAACTGTACTCCTTGGCAGGTTTTGCATAAACTTTGTAACATTCAGAGAACAGCATTTACAAAGAAACCAAAGACTGGAACTGAGGGAAGTCGGGGGTGGGGATGGGTGGGTTTTGTGTGGGAGGGTGGGGGGAGGGAGGAGGGAGGAAAATGGGGGAAAATTAAGGATGACATGTTTTTGGATAATATGTTTTGTTTAAATCTTTAATAAAATTATTATTTTTTTAAAAAAGAAACTTAGCTACTGATTCTGGCTTCACACACATTAATAAAACAAGTAAATTAAATAGGGTTCTATGCAATCCCCCAGCAGGACTCTAAGGTACAGACCAATAGAAGGGTTTCTACTAGACCAAAAGGAAAGAGAGAAGCCGGAGTCTGGGTTGTTTTCAGAGGGATAGTGTACAATTAATTCACTACACCCGAAATCTATTGTTGTTGTTGCTGCTGCTGCTAGATCTACCTGGCTCTTCCTAGCTCAGTCAGTAGAGCATGAGACTTTTAATCTCAGAGTTAATAATAATAATAATAATAATAATAATAATAATAATAATTTATTATTTATACCCCACCCATCTGGCTGGGTTTTCCCAGCCACTCTGGGTGGCTTCCAACAAAGTATTAAAATACTTTGTCTGTTAAACATTAAAAGCTTCCCTAAACAGGCCTGCCTTCAGATGTCTTCTAAAAGTCTGGTAGTTGTTCTTTTCTTTGACATCTGGTGGGAGGGCGTTCCACAGGGTGGGTGCCACTACTGAGAAGGCCCTCTGCCTGGTTCCCTGTAACCTCACTTCTCGCAGGGAGGGAATCACCAGAAGGCCCTCGGTGCTGGACCTCAGTGTCCAGGCAGAACGATGGGGGTGGAGACACTCCTTCAGGTATACTGGACCAAGGCTGTTTAGGGCTTTAAAGGTCAGCACCAACACTTTGAATTGTGCTCGGAAACATACTGGGAGCCAATGTAGAGCTTTCAAGGCTGGTGTTATGTGGTCTCGGCGGCCGCTCCCAGCCACCAGTCTAGCTGCCGCATTCTGGATTAGTTGTAGTTTCTGCGTCATGGGTTTGCGTCCCACGTTGGGCAAAATATTTCTGCATTGCAGGGGTTAGACCAGCTGACCCTCCGGGTCTCTTTCAACTCTACAGTTCCATCATTCTATGATTCTACCATGTTATTGTTTTCCACTGTTTGTAAGTCACTTTGGGATTTGAATGAAAAGCAAAATAGAAATATAATAAATCAAATCAGGAAGCCTAGGCAGGATTGTGACTGGTCCTTTTAAAGGCCGCCCCACAATCCTGCCAGGCTGCATGAGATGCAGGGCCTGCTGAGATCTTGCAAAAGGATCACCCCTCGCCTCCAGCTACAGCCTTCCCCACAAGCCAACAAACAGCTTCAGCAGGCTCCCCAGGCTGTAAGTTTCGAGATCCTTTCTAAAGGCCAGCCAGAGGGATCTTTTATTTCCTGCCTTAGCACCAAGCACTAGAGACCTGAGATTTGAGACGATGCCCTTTGCCTGCTCCTTACAAGTAAAAAAATCACCATTTCCCCTTACGCCCAGCCCGGCACCAGAGACGGGGGCAGTTGCAAATGCTGCTTTTAAAACCTTGCACAGACCCTTGTGTACCAAGTGACAAATTGGTGGTGCATCATTTCCTGCTAGATCTAAAGATGTTCTGTGCCTAAAATGTTGGCTTTCTTTTGCCACCAATAACTAGGATATAAATAATGCACCGTGCGGCCGTGGCGAAGCTCCTGTCTCTGAGATTATTTTGTACACTTTTTCCTGAACAGCTGTCAGTTGTGACTGATACTCCGGAATGCTGTTATCCAATGAGGTGCCAAACTGTCAGCATTTCATTAAGATATGCAGTGGGGAGCAGCAAAGGCAGTTACTTAGCATGCTGGAAGCGTAAGCTGCACCAACATATTTACTGGGTCCTTAATGTCCTTAAATGCTGCATGAAGTGGTTGCTCTGGAGTGATCAGTTCCCTCTTCCTGGGTGGAATGGGCCTGCAGGTACCACGGTGCGGCCATTTTTATTTTATTTTTTTAAGTTGTGGCAGTGGGGAGCGTGCATGCAGACAAACTTCCCGCAGCAAGGGCAAATGAGATCTCGGCTCAAAGAACCTCCACAGGATCTCTCTGCATTTGGCAGAGTTGATATATTATTTTAAAAATAAAAGAAGCAGTAACCTTTGTGCCTGAAACTAAACATTGTTCATGTTCTGCAGAGGTCACGACAACAGCACATGATGAAGCCAAACAAAAGCCAGTCACTGTGACTGTTTATAGCTCATCAACTTCATCAAACGGGGAAAGATGCATCCATGTGCCAATGCAAGTTCTTGAGCCAGAAACGACCAAGACGGGTCCAGCAATCCTTGTCCTCTGCCTGAATATGGGGGTGTGCTTTATCATCAGTTTACTACCAATTATTATTTACTTAATATTAATAGAATAATTTACATGCTGCCTTTCATTTCAAGAAGAAAGACCCAGGCAATTCACAAACAAATGAAAGCAACCTTGTCATGTTGGTTCCAGGAAGGAAACTTCTTCTTTTCTGGCGATCACTCGTAGTCGAGTAAGATTGTCTTCCATGAACACGGTCTTAACACTGAGTCCATAAGTAATTGTGGAGGCCAATTCTGGATCCACGCGTCCTTCCACAGTGGGGACATTGGTTTCTGGTGGGAGTTGAGCATGGTGAGGGTTTGCCAAGTGTGCCTTCCTCTTAGCACGTTTCACCCTTTCGTCCTGAGTTCGAGTGTCTTCAAAGCCCATGACATTATTGGTAAAGGCTGTTCTCCAACTGGAGCTCTCGCAGGCCAGTGTTTCCCAGTTGTTGGTGTTTATACTACATTTTTTAGATTTGCCTTGAGAGAGTTTTAAACTTCTTTTGCTGACCACCAGCATTACACTTTCCATTTTTATGTTCAGAATTGAGTAGTTGCTTTGGAAGACGATCATCAGGCATCTGCACAACATGACCAGTCGAACAAAGTTGAATGCTTGTTGTTGGCAGACGGTGTCCCTTGAATGCAGGCTATGCACAGTTGTTACTAACTTTTGCACAGGGCTCCCAACACAGGCATTGGGGGTAAGAGAGAGATGAAAGCCTGAGGTTTTGACTGCGCTCCGACACATGCAGAAAGCGACTCTTACTGGTAAGTATGGGAGAGAATTTTATTCAGTCAAGTAATGGTAGATGCTCAGCAGCTGACATAAGCTGCACTCACATGACAGTCCCCCCCCCAATTTTAATGATGTTTCTCTAACTGATTTAAATAAATATACCCCCAATAACTGCTGTCCCATTTCTAGGTTATTTATAATGAGAACAGTTAGCCATGCTCACCGAAAAATTGCCTCAGTAACGTCTCTCAGGCGTAAATAGGTGACAATTTTGCAAGCAAAATAACACAACAAACGTCATTTTCATGAATATATTGAATTTTATGCACAATTCCCTCTGATATGTGTTTTTTTGGGGGGGGTAAAAATTATTTGATTGGAGTACTGTATTGTAATATTTTCATCTAAGCAAATTTTGAAGGATGGCCACGGTTCTGTCTTCAAATGGTTTCAGAAAGTGTGAACTTGACAGATTTGTCTTTAAATGTAACCTGAATTGAATTTATCCCCAGCTCCTATCTCAGACTATTACCGTGGCCCAACCCTGACATATTGATAGTTCAGCCCAGAAAAATACATGGGCAGCATCCCTTGCCAGGCACATTTCCACCAGTTGGATTGGGGCAAATGCTTTCAGCCTGACGCTAAACAAAAAGCTCAAAGCTGAATAATCAGAGCCATATTTTATTTTTAAAGAATGCAAATCCCGTCCTCTGTGGAAGCGGGAAGAAGAGGAGTGGGACAGAGTTAGATTAATGGTTTTACCCTTAGCTCTTTGACAGAAGGACAATCTATATCCTACCAGAGACTTCAGTAAGATGAGGGTACGGCAGCAATTTATTGCAAATTAATCCTCGATAAATGTTTTCCAGGATGAATGGCGCATTGAGAAGATATGAGGAGGGACAACGGAAGGCACCCTGAGAAGGATTATAGGAAGTAAACAATAGCTGCCTGGGCAGTGGCAGAGCCAGGTTGGGAGTAGGGAAAGCTTACAAATCAGAAACTCATTAGGCAAAAGCAGGGAAGGAATATTAATGTGCTCAAATGAATAATATCATAACGTATAACTTGAATGTCTCCATTATGATGGACAGCCTAGACATTCCTTAGTGACAGCGACATGGAAGGCAGACTGAGCATTGCAAAGCTGGTGGAAAAGTGGAAGCGAGTTGACAAAAGCCCACCTTGAATCCCTTGGTGGGACCTTTCAAAGGAGCAAGTCCATCCTCTTTGAAGGATCGGTGTATATTTCATGGAAGCAGATTGTCCTACGGAACAGAGGAAACAAAGGAGAGAGGAGCTGGTTCTCATTCGGGACTGTGCCACCAGTGGCTGAGCTTTGATTGATGGGCGAGCTGAAGCACCCGTTTCCGTAGCTTGATACTCTTGTGTGGAAATCAGGGAAGAGGAGCAGAGGAGGATTTAGGGCTGAATCCAATATTGCTTGTACTCAGAGTTGACCCATTGAAATGAATGTACGTGGCCAACTTAGGTCTATTACTTTCAATGGGTCGACTCTGAGTAGGATGAGCACTGGGTACAACCCTTATTCTGCTCAGGATTGCATCCAGTGGATGAGCAGACACATGTGTGCATTCAGGACACAGTTTGTTAAGAGTGCAAAGCACCATTTCTAAGTTGCGACGTGAGAGAAATTCCAGGGGAATATGGTGAGGTTAAACTTAGGAGCAGCTTGGCTTGGCTTGTGGGTTTCATACCATTTCCCCATAGTTCAAGTCCTCGTAGAGTTTGACGTTGTCTTTTCCATTAATAAATATGGCGGGGGGGGGGGGGGAGGATATTCACTAAGAAGAAATGAACTTTTCTTGGCAACCCCCTTTCCACGACATTATTTTGTCCTTTATTAAAATAACCTTGGCTATAACCTCTGCTTACTGTGCAAGTCTCTGTAGGACATCTCGCTGTTTAATTAATGCACTCTTACTGTCTGTCATTGGCTTAAGCTTCCACAACAAATCCCCTTCTCTCCTAAATATCATGCTGAGAACTATTAACATTTTGCAGAGGATCCTTGGTACTTAACTCTGTCGCGCTCTTTCCACTTACTTCTAGGATTTCCTCTGGTGATTTCCAACCTTCTCAAACAGAAGGCTAAAACAACAAAGCAGAGAGAGAGTACAGATGACAGGGGGATAGAGGTGTCCATTGTGTGCATATCCACTTTTTAAAAAAATCTCAACATGGTATCCAGTAAAGCTGGTCTTTGATTTTGCTCTGTTCCACTGCCCAACATTGGAGCAGAAACCAACATGGTAAAAATACAAAGACAGAGAGGGCTTCTCAGGACTGAAATCCTCTTTTTGTGTTTGGGGCAAGCATTTCTTCCTCTTCCTCCTCCTCTTCCTCCTCCTCCTCTTCTTTTTCTTTAAATTTGTATACTGCCCTCCATCCCTAGATCTCAGGGTGGTTCAAGATTTGTATTCCTAGACCAGGAGTGACCAAGCATGGCTAATGTTTATGTTAACATATACTTCAATTAACATAGCACAAAAAGGTTTTGCTGGAGCATTTTCAAAATTAAACAGTCCCCAGCACCTTGCTTCTATGTTTCTGATTCAGTTTGTTTCCTCTCCTTTTTGAGCCTTGTATTATCCCTTGCCTGTTGTCTTTGTCCATGGAGTTTTCTTGGCAGGGATACTGGAGTGGCTTGCCGGTTCCTGCTCCAGGTGGATCACGTTTGGTCAAAACTCTCCACTATGACCTGTCCATCTTGGGTGGCCCTGCATGGCATAGCTCATAGCTTCTCTGAGTTATTCAAGCCCCTTTGCCGCGGCAAGGCAGTGATCCATGAAGGGGCAGTGATCTTGCCAACAAAGGTCCGTATAGTTAAAGCTATGGTTTTCCCAGTTGTGATGTATGGAAGTGAGAGCTGGACCATAAAGAAGGCTGATCGCCAAAGAATTATGGTGCTGGAGGAGACTCTTGAGAGTCCCATGGACTGCAAGAAGACCAAACCTCTCCATTCTGAAGGAAATCAGCCCTGAGTGCTCACTGGAAGGACAGATCGTGAAACTGAGGCTCCAATACTCTGGCCACCTCATGAGAAGAGAAGATTCCCTGGAAAAGACCCTGATGTTGGGAAAGATTGAGGGCACAAGGAGAAGGGGACGACAGAGGACGAGATGGTTGCACAGTGTTCTTGAAGCTAGCAGCATGAGTTTGACCAAACTGCGGGAGGTGGTAGAAGACAGGAGTGCCTGGTGTGCTCTGGTCCATGGTGTCACGAAGAGTCAGACACGACTAAACAACAACAACATTATCCCTTGGCCTGCCTTCAAAAGCATTATATTATATTATATTTGTTATATTATAATGTTAATGGGAGTTCCTTGCTTGCAGCGCTTGCAATGGTAGGGTGAGTTTGTGTGTGAGAGAGAAGCTGGAAATGGACACCCACTGAGCTGAATGAGCTCCCTGACCCAATTTTGCAGTTCTAGAAAAAGCTTTGCCACTTGATTCTGCTGAATGAACAAACCAGCCTTTAAACAGCAACAATTCAAAGGAGAAACCCAGCAGCCTCCTGTAATACACTCATAATTCAATCCTAGCAGAACCATAGATCAACTGCTGAGCCAAAACAGAAGATGGCAGTGTTCCATTCAACCCAGGGCTGTTCGCTTTGACTTCCTTCGGCCGGTGATGAATATGATTGCTCTCGTCTCTGTAGAACAGAAGGTCATACTTACTTAATGTGAATTACATTCTTTCGGTTTGGCAATTGCCACTGAGTTGCACGGGCACAGAGAAAGCTATGCCTGGAAGAGCCAAAGATATAGCATTGCTAAAAAATAATAATCCCGAAATGTTTATGGGACAAAATTGCAGTGTTAGGCACAGCAGGGTGGTTTCTGTGGGAGTCCGCGCACAACTGCGTCACAAAATGCAACAAAAGATACTTTCAGTGGTTATCGGACAGAAGCTGTTATATCTACTTCCTTGAGGAAATAATTCTGAAATTCTTTCATGCCTATCAGCTGCCACAGGCTATTCCTGTGTCAACTAAGTGCATCCTTCTCTCCATCTCAGAGGGATGTCAGTGCCCTAATCCTGACAGAGAAATGGAGACACTGATCTCGTTCTGAAAGATCCATCTATTCTGTATCCAGGGCAGCTGTCTACCAGCTCCACCTGGTACACAGGCTGAGACCCTACCTGCCCGCGGACTGTCTCGCCAGAGTGGTGCGTGCTCTAGTTATCTCCCGCTTGGACTACTGCAATGCGCTCTATGTGGGGCTACTTTTGAAGGTGACCCGGAAACTACAACTAATCCACAATGCGGCAGCTAGACTGGTGACTGGGAGTGGCCGCCGAGACCTCATAACACCGGTCTTGAAAGACCTACATTGGCTCCCAGTACGTTTCCGAGCACAATTCAAAGTGTTGGTGTTGACCTTTAAAGCCCTAAACGGCCTCGGCCCAGTATACCTTAAGGAGCGTCTCCACCCCCATTGCTTAGCCTGGACACTGAGGTCCAGCGCCGAGGGCCTTCTGGAGGTTCCCTCATTGCGAGAAGCAAAGCTACAGTGAACCAGGCAGAGGGCCTTCTTGGTAGTGGCTCTCACCCTGTGGAACACGCTCCCATCAGATGTCAAAGAGATAAACAACTACCTGACATTCAGAAGACATCTTAAGGCAGCCCTGTTCAGGGAAGTTTTTAATGTGTGACATCTTAGTGTATTTTTGGTCTTTGTGGAGTGGCTGGGGAAACCCAGCCAGATGGGCGGGGTACAAATAATAAATTATTATTATTATCCAACATGGTGACTTTCTGTTTCAAGGCACACCACAGCACACCTTGAAGTACAGTAACATGCCCTATATATTTATTTAGAATACTTATATCTAGGGATGGGGGAGATATTGGACTCTGTTCATCTTTCAGGGCAAATCTATCAAATTTGCCCTTTTTTCAAATGTACACTGAAACCAGCTAACCTTCAAAACATGCAGTTATCTGAATAATACGACACAGTTCTCCAACCAATGGTTACAAGAATGCCAGGGTTCCCTGAGAAGAGGGATTGATTGTTAAACCACTCCAGAAACTGCAGCTCTGTGAGGCAAATAGGGGTCTCTTAACAACTCTTAGCTCCCAGAATTCTTTGAGGGAAGCCATGGCTGTTTAAGGTGGTATCATAGTGCATTCAGTGCACGGTTTGAATGTGGCCGTGGTATGAGGCAGCTTCCGATGTATTCAGGCAGCATTTCCTGCCCTTGTTCTTCTGTGGTGTCATACAAGGCCCTCCAATTCAAGGGATTGGGGCTGAGCAGCTTGTTTCTTGACTCAGTCCATGATGGAACTGAACTACATACACCACAAATGTTCCAGAAAAAACGAGACATCCTGTTTTCCCCCACGAGAGCACGCCGGCCCTTTTGGTTGCCAGAATTTCATGCGATTTTGCCCCAATATTGCGCCTTGAAAAAAGCGCTTTGGGGGCTGCGATCTCAAATGGCACCCTCCAATGAGAGCACGTCCCCCCCAAAAAGTGTGTATTTGGGGCTCTGTGATCTCATGCAGGTCACATGACTCATGCAGGTGCATGGATGGGAAGATGCATGTCCTGGTTTGGAAACTGAACAGGTTGGCGCGTATGGAAACTGGATTAGCCTTGCTGGCGCTAACCAGGCATCAGGTCTTGATACTTTGGGAATCACTGACTTTGAAGCAATAGATCTGAAGCTAAGCATTGGAACCATTGCAGTTAGCATGCTGTTCTCAGCATGAGGAGGCTCAGGTTCAAATCCTGACTCAGTTATGAATCTCATTGGTTGATCCTGAGCTGCCAACCACCATGTGATTGGCTGAGCCAAAGGGAGGGGGGACGGAATGTTGCGTACTATCCTGAGCTCCCTGGAGGAAGATATAAATGCTGGTAATAATCATAACATGAAATATTTAACCATCACTGTTCAAGTGGCCTGTTTATTTCCACACTCAGAGTGACAGATGACTAAATAATGATTTAACAGTTTACTTTTGACAATCTTCTTCTTCTTCTTCTTCTTCTTCTTCTTCTTCTTCTTCTTTTCAAAGACAAGATTCCCAGATGGTTTGGCTCCTTCCAGCGCACAGGCTGCATTTCTGGCATGTGTTAATAGATAACAAATGAACCAAACGGGTGTTCTTTGACATGGCAGCAGATGAAAGCTAGGACGGTGTAGTTCACTCCAGGACTGTGTCTGTTGCTAACAAACGCCTGAAATGTTCTAAATGTACAATGGAAAGAAATGTAGAAAAGGATCAGCGGTCCAATCCCAGAAGAGGAAGGTAGATTATCAAAAGCGTAAGATGAATTTAGAAATACTGGAGGTATCAGGCAATTATGTGGCAAGCGGTCTAATTGAACATCTTTTTGCACATGCATGTGTGGACATAGAAACACACACTGCCGGGACTTCCGGGGTGGCGCCATCGGCAATGGCGGACTCCCTCTGAACTGGAGGGACCAGCTCCGCATGAAACGGGTCTTTTCCGCTACGGCGAAGCGGGGACCCTTCTGGAAATCACAGGCGGATGAAACCTGTGACCGTGGGACTCGGCGGGCACCCTTAGCGCCCCCCCAACCCGCAAAGGAACCCACTAACGGGCTCCGAAGCGAAGGGGGGGAAGTGGCGCGGTGCTGTGAGTCAATTGCTTTTTCTGCGGAGCGAAGCCGCATAGCCGTTGCCGGAGAGCGCTGCCTTTTTCCTGGGACAATTTGGCATCTAAAATAACCACCCGTGAGTACTGGAACATTGAACATTTGGACTTTAAATAAGAACTGGCGAAATAGAAAGGAATTTGGACTTAAAAATTTATCTTAATTTGGTACTGAAACGGGAAGGTCTAAACAGGAAGTCAGCCTTCCGTTTCCTTGTAGCCAGAATAAAGCAAAGACAACGTAAACTAGAGCTTTAAAAATCACTTTCAAAGGATTGGCTTTCATCATTTAAAATCGCTGAACCCCCCTTCGGCAGCAGGAGAAGAAGGGGATCTTTTTTGGGCTGTTTAAACCTGCAGAAGTGAGTTTAAAGCAAAGTAATTTTCCACCGTCCTGATCCTGGAGCGGGGTGTCAGAATTGACGTTTGAAGCTCATTGACCAGAAACAAATGTCTTTGACAGATAGTTAAAAGAAGAGAAACATAGTGATTCCATTGTTTCCTTTCGCATTTTAAAAAGAACAAATATGGACAAAATACCTTAAAAAGAAACTTTGTTGCTATTGTTTTTAAAAGAAAGAACAACCAGAAGATTTCCCCTAGAGGGGACTGTGAAATTGTAACTAATTCCTGGGAGCTTGCAGCTGCCACAGATTACAACCGTGGGAAAGGATTTGTGACCTTGCAGGACAATGTCTTCAGAAGCACTGTTGGGTGCTCTCTGCAAAATAAATGCCCTATTGGATCAGTTAAGCCAGAAGACGGATTTGATGACTAATGCGGCCAGAACCTTTGAACAGGTAGTGGGAAATTATATGGAGCCCACCCAGGAGCTAAAACAGGAGTGTGCCATGACAGAACAGTTGAGAGAAGAGGATGCTGCTGAATCTTGGGCGCCAGAGACGGAGGGAGCTGCGGCCCAGCAGGAACATAAATTTTTGGATTTGATAAATGAACTTGGAAAAACCAGACTTGGAAAGATAAAGTTTGGTTTGGTTTGGAAATGGGGGGTTGGACAGACCCCCCTATACAGGGAGATTTGGACTTTTCGAGTCTGGCAATGGGCCGTCAGATGTTTGGAGCTGTGGGGGCTCTCAATTTTGGAGGGAATCTGAAACATGTTTTTAAATACCACATGGAGTCTAGTCTGGACTATGGAAAAGGGGCTGATTTGTTGAAAAGGGTCAAAAACATTACCAAGCTGGAGTTCCCACGAATGAAAGGAAAATATGAAGAAGAGCTGCGGAAGGGACATGGAAGAGACTTGAGGGCTTCGGATATAAGATTACCAGGTTAATGTGCTAGATTAATAAGATAAAAAGGACTGACAAAACCCGGGACCAGGAGGAAGGGACGCTGGATGAAGATTGGATTGTTTATTTCTTTTTTTTATCATTAGGATTGTTCTATAAAATTGATGAATGCTAGAAAAATGTTGAAATGAAATTACTTGGCTCTTGTAAAAATGTCTAAAGAATTTGGTAAGAATGTTATGGCTAGGAGAAGTTGGTAAAAATAAGATTTAAGTTTTAAACTTTAAGGTTTTCTATAAGATAAGATGAAAATAGATTAAGGTAATGTAATGACAGAATACTATGAATTATGGAAAGGATTTGCTGCGATTATTATTAATCAGGATACAAGAAAAGGGAGGAGGAGGAGGTCAAAGAAAGAAGGTATTGAAAGTGGAGAATTTGAGAATGATGGTTTTATTTTTTATTTTTATTTTTCTGTCTTATCTTTTTTTGTGTGTAATTTTAAATCCCCCCCCCAATAAATATCTTTTTTTTTTAAAAAAAAGAAACACACACTGCCTAATCCTGAAGTTGCATTCAGATGTGGGGATTATTGTATTAGTTTTCCTGGTTATAATGCTAGTCCTGGTTTATAACATTCCTTTCACCCTGTGTTACCTTTTGTGTTATGGACCTGTGACATTTTGATCAATATACTACTACAGTGGTACCTCTGGTTATCAACTTAATTCGTTCTGGAGGTCCGTTCTTAACCTGAAAACGTTTTTAACCCGAGGTACCACTTTAGCTAATGGGGCCTCCCGCTGCCGCCACGCCACCGGCACGCGATTTCTGTTCTTATCCTGAGGTAAATTTCTTAACCCGAGGTACTGATTCCAAGTTAGTGGAGTCTGTAACCTGAAGTGTTTGTAACCCGAGGTACCACTGTACATGGCACTAAATGGAACGCCCTCCCACCAGATGACAAAGAGAAAAACAACTACCAGACTTTTAGAAGACATATGAAAGCAGCCCTGTTTAGGGAAGCTTTTAATGTTTAATAGGCAAAGTATTTTAATATTTTGTTGGAAGCCGCCCAGAGTGGCTGGGGAAACCCAGCCAGATGGTCGGGGTATAAAGAATAAGTTATTATTATTATTATTATTATTATTATTAATGTCATTCATACCAGTGGCTGCAGTGTGACACGACAGTGGATGTCATCAGACATGTCACACACACACACACACCTTGATGTGCATGTGCCCTTCTGTTCTCCCATGAAAATGTTGAGAAATAAATGCATGGATTGCATCACAATGGTGGTGTGATCCGTGAAAAGAGCTGGTGTGTGTGGGTCAAACAGCCCCAAACCGCCATGATCTTCTGAGTTAACAGGGTTGTAATCTTCCCCCCTTTGAAGGAAATTAACACAAAAATGAGTGGCAAACTTCCTCTAGGTTTCCAGAAGTGACTTTTTTGTCATGTGAAAGATCACCCCCCCAAAAAAAACCCATGGAAATTTACATTGGAAAAATGGAATGAAGTGCTGTCTGAGTGCTGCCTGAGTCAGAGGGTAGGTAGGTGTTGCCACAGCGAAAAATCGATTCCTTACACTTGGCAGAACCTGAAGCAGACCTTTAAGGAATCCCAATCATCTGAAAAAAGTGAATGCAGTTGCCTACATGATGGTCCCCCTGTTCACAAGCAACATGCTCCTCCTTCCACTTCAACTTGTGAATATGTTTAGCAGAGGTGGCTTTAGGGTAGTGTGACCAGCTCAGATGCACTGGGTGCCACAACAACGCTATCGGATGGAGTGTGGGAGGCAGGGGGTGCCGAATTTTAGCATTCCACAATGCTAAAATTTGAAAGCCCAAAGCTCTCCACTGTGTTTAAAAATAGCCATTTTGAATTTGAGCGATCGTTCCTGTCAGGCTGCTGCCAGCGACTCCTGGCTGGTTGCCCAGGAACGTACATAGACATGGAGAAGTTTCTTACCGTCCTCTTATTACTCAGTATTTACAGAGAGAGGCTATAGAACCCAGCCTCTTGGATAATGGCTTTGCCCGAGTGAATCTCCACTCCCCATCTCTCCCACTCCCTCATTCGTCATTCACATGGTCTCTTTTACGGGTGCTGCTATATTCCCTCTGTCTTTGAGCTCTTTGCTCTCCTACTTTCAAGGCTTGCCTGGTTCTTGGGGGTGGGTGTGTAACGCTTTCTAAAGACACTGTACCTGTCAGCTGTCACCCCCCCTGGTGCTTCCTCTTCCTCTTCTTCCTCTCCCATTATTTCCCAGCTTTCCCTCCCTCAAACCCTTGTTGTAAATCTAAACTGTCTTCGTTCTCCACCTCCCTGAAAGGGTCAAGCTGGGGAGGCGGTCTCCACCATTCCTCCTCTGCCCAGTCCTTGACAGTTCCTAAGCAGGTTTTGGAAGATCCTGATCTCTTCATTTCTCACACCTCTGGTGTGGGTGAGAAGCTGAAAGACAGACTTGTACACAGCTTGATTTAAGAAAAGAAATAAGAATGTATATAAATGTAAGACTACAGAATCATTGGGTGATAACTAATGTTAGTCATACGCAGAGTAGAGTCCATTGATTTCAGTGGATCCACACTGAGTATGACTAAGATTGCTATATATACAGTGGATGCTCAGGTTGCAAACGTGATCTGTGCGGGATGCACGTTTGCAACCCACAGCGGCGTGTCTGTGCATGCGCAGGTTGCAATTTGGTGCTTCTGCGCATGCGCAAAGCATGATTTAGAGCTTCTGCACATGCATGACCTCCGAAACCCGGAAGTAACCCGTTCCGGTACTTCTGGGTTTCGGAGCGTCCGTAACCTGAAAAAATGCAACCTGATGCATCTGTAACCCGAGGTATGACTGTATATATTTACCTGGAAGTAGCTGGCCTATCACCTATTATTAGAAACTAATACATGACAGGTACCAGAGACAGAATGATGAGGGTGGATAAGAGAACGGGGCAATTGATGAAGGCTGTGACAACCTATACTATACCCATGCTGTCATCCTCATAAATATTATTTAAAGCCAAATCAATCTGTTTCCCTCAGTCTGTCAACACCGCCATCAAACTCAATTTCTTGCAACCACTCAATCAATTAATTAGCTCTTAAGCTGCAATTTGATCAAAAGAACTGTCATCAATGACTCAAGTTTGCTCCCGTCTATCTGAACACAAGCTTAACTGATTTGCCTGATTGGATTACTTTGTATGGATGATATTGGAAATATGACCATTCTTCCATAGACGCCGCAGAACAGTTTATAGAATTTTTCTAACCCAAGGTCTATGCCAGGCATAGGCAAACTCAGCCCTCCAGATGTTTTGGGACTACAACTCCCATCACCCCTAGCTTACAGGACCACTGGTGAGGGATGATGGGAGTTGTAGTCCCAAAACATCTGGAGGGCCGAGTTTGCCTATGCCTGGTCTACACCATGTTGTAAATGGCCCTGCGGCCTTTTTGATGAAGGTATATAAATTTAAATAACCACCGCAAGAAATAGCACTGAGTTTGGCATGGTACAAAATTTGTACCCGCGGAAGTACTGCATTGATTCTGCCAGTTCACCACATGTTCCACCAACTGCACCTCAGATGGAGGTGGAACATGCAAAACCACCTCTCCAGCTGACTTAAGGAGATAGACAGGATCATGTGAGAGGAGGCGGTCCCAAAGAGGAGGAGTCCCCAGATGTTTAGGGTTTTATAGGTAATAATAACCAGAACATAGAATTGAGCTCAGAAGTGGACCAGCATCTGTTGAAATCGATAAGGAATCATATGCTCTAAAAACTGTGCATTGGTTTAAATTTGCAGATGTTTTTCTTTTTTCTTTTTAAATGATATTTATTAAAGTTTCAAAGAAAAGATTACATAAATAAAAAGAGGAAAAAAGGAAAAAGAAATAGAAAAGAAAAAAATGCAAAATACAGAAAAAAGATAAAAAACACTTAAAAAACACATCAATCTTTCCATGCCTTACATTTCATTTCCTTGCTTCCCTGACCTCCTCACACCTCCCTTTTTTGTATTCCAGTTCTATTAGTTAATTCAGCAATTCCTTTCCCTCTTTGTTTTTGTCTTAATCCTTAAACTTAATATATTATAACTTTGGATTTTCACCTGTTAACAATCCATTTTTACATACACCTTTATAACATTGCTGCTAAAACCACTTAACTTCATTCTAACATCATTCTAACATTCATTAATTTTGCAGTATTTCTGTAAATAGTCTTTAAATTTCTTCCAATCTTCTTCCACCGACTCTTCTCCCTGGTCTCGGATTCTGCCAGTCATTTCCGCCAGTTCCATATAGTCCATCACCTTCATCTGCCATTCTTCCAGAGTGGGTAAATCTTGTGTTTTCCAATACTTTACAATAAGTATTCTTGCTGCTGTTTAAATTTGCAGATGTTTTTCAAAGACACTATTGTGTAGAGAAACGAAGTCATCCATCCTTGATGGTACCTGAAGCATGAATGACCATGGCTTAAGGTTTTAGCTCATTATGGGATTGGGAAGCCAGATTTCCCACCCAAACCATGTCTAACAATCATGTACTGGTATATATTGGACCTTTGCCTACTTAGTGGTTTGGCTTCCAGATCTTGACCATGATTGAAATTTTCAGAGTACTTCAGGGTGCCAATGGGCCATAGTGGGGATCTGCCAAAGGACTTCACATCAGGGCCTTTGCCTCTTTGTGCGATCTCTCCCAGAATGCTTACTTGATTATTTGAAGATTCCTGGTGCATGGGTTGCCTTAAACCAAAGCAATCTGCTTGAAGAAATAGTTAATAATTCAAATGTCCTAGAAGAAATTTCACTTGACACCAGTGACAGCTGGCTAACAATTATTAATCCCTTTGACATTCATGATATCAATAATAATGAGGAAGAATTCATTTTGTTTTGGAGCATTTGAAATACCAGGTTCTCTGTTGCAATTTAGATTAATTAATGTCCACCCTCCTGTCAAGATTTTTTTTTCCACGTGAACTTTATAAGCTATGAACAACCTTCAGTGTAGTGACAGTAGCTATTTGAGTGGTTTTTTATTTTGTTTTATGAAAACAATGGTGATCGTAATAAATGACCCCTGTTCTTATTTCCATTTTCCTGGCAGATAATGTAGAACACAGCTTTCTTTCTTTTAAAATAGAGATTGGACCTATTTAACCTGAAGATTCGCAAGGTGGCTTAAAACAGATGGCAATAATACAATGAGAAACAAACACCCCAAATATACCACACAGTAGCTCTTTGTCCTCTGGCTGATGGATGGGGCTGGGTGGTGGCGGCAATGGGACATGGTTAGCCCTGGTTCGTCAGCAACCTGGATTCTCTGCCCTTCCTCCTTTTTTTAACTTAGAAAAGTTGAGGTGGGCGCACTACAAAGCAGTGTTGGTGACACCCCAACCACCTTTCTTTCTAATTTCCCAGAGGCATCTGTGCATATAAATTCCCATACGATGCAGTTACCAAATTGTGACAAGTTCCCCATTGCCACCCCAAGTCTTCAGGGTCCTCAGAGTCTCTCTCTGATCCATCCATCTCATTACCTGGAGAGCCAGTGTGGTGTAGTGGTTAAGAGCGGTAGACTCGTAATCTGGTGAACCGGGTTCGCGTCTCCGCTCCTCCACATGCAGCTGCTGGGTGATCTTGGGCTAGTCACACTTTTCTGAAGTCTCTCAGTCCCACTCACCTCACAGAGTGTTTGTTGTGGGGGAGGAAGGGAAAGGAGAATGTTAGCCGCTTTGAGACTCCTTCGGGTGGTGATAAAGCGGGATATCAAATCCAAACTCCTCCTCCTCCTCCTCCTCCTCCTCCTCCTCTTCTTCTTCTTCTTCTTCTTCTTCTTCTTCTTCTTCTTCTTCCTAGTAGGGCCATTGAAGGCAAAGCATGGAGAGTGGTGCTGTATTCTGCCATCTCCTGACACAAATATTCTGCGACTTTGTGTCATGGGCCTGTGCCCTGAGCCCTTTTAGTAGCTGGGAACGCCTCTGGGGGGCAAAGACTTGTCCTCTGCAACTGCGGCCCATCCCGTTTCGCCACCTGAGGCAAAATGAGAAGACACCGCCTCCCTGCCCCTTCCAGAGCCTCACTTACTGGGGTCACATGGCTCCTGTGGTGGCAACTTCTGGCAAGATCTCACCACACAACCCTGGTGGTGGTAGGGGTGCGTGGAGCACCTGTGAGGGCACCGCCCCATGGGATTAAGGCGCCTGAGGCAGCTGCTTCAGTCCACCTCATGGGTGGGCCAGTGCTGATCATCTGCTTTGCCAAAGGGCAAAACTAGATCTAACAGGAGCCAGAAGAGGTAGATTTTGATTTATCACTAAAAGAACTTCCTTGGTGGTTAGAGGAAGGATCTGGGGGACTAGGGTTCAAATCTCATTTGGCGATAAAGCTCACTGGGCCGATCTTGGGCCGATCACTGCCTCTCAGCCTATTCACAGGGTTGTTGTGGAGGTTCAATTGAGGAGGGATAGAACCATGCATGCCCTGAACTCATTGGAGCAAAAGCTGGGATAGAAATGAAAAAGATAAATAACACAAACCAGTTCCAGGGCTGCAGGACCACTGGATTCCCTCCTTTGAGTAGCAGTTTTGACAGCAAGACTTTCAAGCCCCCTTCCCACAACTTCTAAAATTCTACTCAAAATATGTGTGCGGGTTTTTCAAAATGCTCCCTGCTTAGCTGCTTAGATTGAATTCTGGATAATCTACTCTTTGCAGTTTTCATCTGAATGTGTCACTTTTGATGACAGCTTCAGCAACTGCGTGTTGCATGAGCCAACATCCCTTGTAATTTGCAGATTGAAGCAGATGTCAAGAATGGCCCCATTTCCTCCATCACCACCCCAGCCTATTGAGCAGAAAGTGTAGATATCCTTTATCCCCCCCCCCTCCCGGAACAGATATGGGCCTTTTTCTCTTGTTCTCACAATCCCCATCAATCCATTTATTACACTAGCAGGATTGTAAGGTGATTCCACATAAACCCCTGCGCTCCAGCCATTGCCTTCTGGAAAATGCTCATTGCAAATACAGCCTTACACTTCCATTATTTTCTCTCTCACCTGCTATATATTTTTCTCATTCGCTGCACTGTTTCTGAACCGAGTTCTCTGTGGAAAGCCAATGTGTATGTCTAATCAACACACCACACATTTGCAGTGCATTTAAGGCATGTGACTCCCCCCAGAGAATCCCGGGAGCTGTAGTTTGCCATGGGTGCTGATGAGAATTATAGCTCAATGAGGGTTAAATGGCAGCTCCTGGGAGTTGCTGGAGGAAGCCCTCCGCTTTCAATGTGCTTTAAATGGGTGGTGCAGATGCAGCTGCACTCCCTAGGCTGCTTGTTCCTGGTCCTTTTTCTTAAAGACCAGCAGATCCAGGCAGGTGAGCGAAAGTCTGTCCATGGAATATATTTAGAAACAAACCCATTTGGCAGGTATTTGTGCTGTAGGTGTGGATCCTGGGGAGAGGGAAGAGTTGGCACAAACGTTGTCAGGAGAGTGTGGCAGCACAAGAACGCCCCATCTGCCTCTTGCGCACATGTTGCCAGAGCACATGAGAACCACTGAAGAGGGATGAGATATCAGAAACACTACTGAAGTGCTAACCACTACAGAGATGAAACAACAGAGGAAACAATATCGGAACTCAGAAAACCTAACAAGATGGATGGCATGTATTAAACAGGTCTCATATACGTATATAGTTTTAATTCTATCACTGTTTAACTTTTTTATGATCGTTTCCGCCCTGTGTTTTTAGCAGTTCTTGTTTTTATCTTTAAGCTCCCTTGAGTCCTGTTAGGGAAAAAGGCAGGGTGTAAATAAATAAATTTTGTTGTTGTTTAGTCGTTTAGTCATGTTCGACTCTTCGTGACTCCATAGACCAGAGCACGCCAGGCACTCCTGTCTTCCACTGCCTCCCGCAGTTTGGTCAAACTCATGCTGGTAGCTTCGAGAACACTGTCCAACCATCTCGTCCTCTGTTGTCCCCTTCTCCTTGTGCCCTCCATCTTTCCCAACATCAGAGTCTTTTCCAGGGAGTCTTCTCTTCTCATGAGGTGGCCAAAGTATTGGAGCCTCAGCTTCATGATCTGTCCTTCTAGTGAGCACTCAGGGCTGATTTCCTTCAGAATGGATAGGTTTGATCTTCTTGCAGTCCATGGGACTCTCAAGAGTCTCCTCCAGCACCATAATTCAAAAGCATCAATTCTTTGGCGATCAACCTTCTTTATGGTCCAGCTCTCACTTCCATACATCACTACTGGGAAAACCATAGCTTTAACTATACGGACCTTTGTTGGCATGGATCACTGCCTCCCCTTCATGGATCACTGCCTTGCTGTGGCAAAGGGGCTTGAATAACTCAGAGAAGCTATGAGCTATGCCTTGCAGGGCCACCCAAGATGGACAGGTCATAGTGGAGAGTTTTGACTAAAAGTGATCCACCTGGAGCAGGAACCGGCAAGCCACTCCAGTATCCCTGGCAAGAAAACTCCATGGACAAAGACAACTGGCAATAAATAAATAGCAGGGGACAAAAAAGGGGGCAGATTCGCAGAAAATGTCCATGTGTGTGTTACAAGGAGCTGTACTGGCACCCCGTAAAAAAATAATTAAAAAATCCCCTTCGCCCACACTTTTGAGTTGCAGTGCAAGAAGGATGGGAAGGTTTTCTTGCATTCGATCTCACTACGATAGCAGTGATGTGGCGCCACAAACATATGCATCTGTCAGGCTTGAGGAATTCTCTCCCCCCCCCACGGTTTCCAGAATCAGGGAGGAAACGAGAAAGCTCTGACTTATGATTTATTCAGTCATTACAGTAGAAGACAAAGAATTCAGTCCTTTCCCCGTGATGGGGTTGCTCACTCTGGCTCCTCCCCCTTCCCTCTTTCCCAGCGGCACTTCACCCTATGGAGGCCCCCCGTAGTGAATTGTCTTTGCATTCATTGCTGTTGCACCCTTAACGAACGCTGTGCTGTCTAATGAAGTGTCCGCTGATGGGGCTATCTCCGCCCATGCTTCTTCTAACACTTCGTAACTTAGCCGCTAGTCTCTGCCTCGCCAGTTATCTCATAGCTCGGCTGTAATTCAAACTGGCCTCCCTCCACCCTGTCAGCTACAAGAGAAGGGGGAGGCGATATCCACCATTCCTGTTCTTCTTGTCTCCAGTCCCTGACAGCGTCATACACTCCATAGTCTGATAGGTGATTATTGCAGGGTTACCAGGCGTCCCTGTTTCCCAGGGACAGTCCCCGGATTTGCGAATAAGTCCCCAGACAAATTCCATCCCTGGATTTCATCTAATGTCCCCGGGAAATGAGGCAGTGGCAGTCTCAGCAGCCCAGATCCGGCAGTTGGCTCTGGCTGGCTTCAGGAGCTGCTCGGAAGTCCCCATATGATGGTGGTGCAGGGGCTCTAAGATGCAGCTTCCGGGCTGCCTCCACCTTCCCTGACCCCTGCAACTAAGCTGTGAAGGGAGGCTTCATGCTGCCTATCGGAGCAGCCTCCCAACTCCTACTTGCATGCAAGCAGGAGTGGGGCGGGGATCTCTCCCTTCGCAGCTGAGGGATCCCCACTACCTCCAGCTTGCACGCAAGTAGGAATGAGATTAGGGCTGCTCTGATGGCCTCGCCGCTGCCTCCGCTCTTGGCCCTTCCATGCCTGACCCACTGTGCACCGCTTCCCCACCACTACTGAAGAATCAACAACTCAGGGGCTGCCCAGGCTCATGGAGAAAGGAGATAGAAGCCTCGGAGGAAGGGGAAACGTGGTGGTTGAGGTCAAGGTGGCGGCCGCCCCTCTGCCACCACCATCGCTGCAGCATCAACGTAGTATTTAATTAATTAATTCATTAATTAAAGTGTCCCCAGATTCATTGGAAAAAAATCTGGTAACCTTAGATTATTGTGCACGCATCCCAGGCTTGCTCCCCATGCAGGGGCTAGTTTCACCAACCCCTAGGTACCCCTAGAGCCTCTGGCTCTTCCAATGAGCTTCAATTCCTCCCCCTACATCCTGTTCCTTGTAGGGTGCCTTAAGAATAAAGTGGTACCTTGGGTTAAGTACTTAATTCGTTCTGGAGGTCCGTTCTTAACCTGAAACTGTTCTTATCCTGAAGCACCACATTAGCTAATGGGGCCTCCCGCTGCCGCCACCACGCGATTTCTGTTCTCATCCTGAAGCAAAGTTCTTAACCCGAGGTACTATTTCTGAGAAGAGAAGACTCCCTGGAAAAGACCCTGATGTTGGGAAGGAGAAGGGGACGACAGAGGACGAGATGGTTGGACAGTGTTCTCAAAGCTACCAGCATGAGTTTGACCAAACTGTGGGAGGCAGTGGAAGACAGGAGTGCCTGGCGTGCTCTGGTCCATGGGGTCACGAAGAGTCGGACACGACTAAATGACTAAACAACAACAACTATTTCTGGGTTAGTGGAGTCTGTAACCTGAAGTGTATGTAACCTGAAGCGTCTGTAACCCGAGGTACCACTGTAATTTGATCGAAAGACAAGGTGTGCATCTTAAAAACAAATAAGTAGATGGGTTCTCCTAATGTAGCTTGCGGTTAAAAAACCTACAGATGAGGAACACTGTGTTTGGAATATGTAGAGGTGTTGATGGCCGCCTCCTCTAGCACCTGGCAGCTGAGGCATCATCCAGGTTCCAGCATCTTCCCTCCAGGGGCAGAAGGAGTTGCAGATGGGAGTCAGGGGCTGGCTGATGGCACAAATGTCAGCTCGGAGGAAACAGACGTTCTGTTGATCTCTGGTCCCTAACAGTTGATGCTGTCACCCAGGCTGCAGAGTCTTATCTCCAGAGGGAGAGGCAACAAAGTGTGTGTGTGGGGGGGAAGTAGCTGCCCCTTTTTTGCATTGGTACTTTTTGCCATGGCAATCGGGAAAAGCTGTTGCTGGTGGAAAGGAAAGCTGTTCCCAGTGTGGAGGAGGCAAAGAGGCAGGGAGGCATCACACATAGCCTGTTCTGTTGCTGCCGTGCAATGGACACAGCAGATGAGCAAGGGAGCTATTTATACACTGAACGGAGAGTGTCACCTTATTCCTGTAATCTCTGGTACTCGCAGAGCTGCAGGAGCGTTATGAATTGCAGCCAGGCATTGCACGCTCTTGGAAACTGTCACAGATCAGCCATATATACTCACTCGGGAGCTGGCCTCGGGATGCGTGGTGTCAGATTTCCTTGGTAGTGCTTCGGATTTTTTAAAAAAGTAAGATAAAATAAAAAGGCAATACAAGATATAGTTCACAGATCCTAGCCAGGGATCAATGAAGTATATCATGTCCTAAACTCACTTTCCCGTGAGTACACTTAACCGATTCTTCCCAAGGGAGACGGTTTCAGAGAGGGGGAGCAGGGAAGAGGGGGTTCATTGTTAAAGGTCCACCTTTAAGCTGTCTCATTTTCTTGCCCCCATAAAGATCCCCTAGTTCTGCTCAAACTATCTGTGTCCCTTGAAACAGGATCTCTCTGTGTGTGTTCTGTAGATTTATGGGCTATCTTTTTATTCCATTTTTCAAACCGTTATAATTCATCAAAACAGCTCGCATCAATTAAGAGGGCGAGATAGATAGATAGGTCGTGCCACCCTGGTTTACAAACTAAAAGCGCACAAGGAGAGTGGAGAGAAAAGGGAGGCCAGTTCTTCACCGTACATTTAAACCATATTCCACCCCAAAGAATCCTGGGAACCATTTCCCCAGGCATTTTGGCACCTGAGGAAAAATGCCCCACTGACAATCGGAAACTGTGGGTTGGATTGCAGCAATAGAACTGCTAGATGGCACGATTAGGGAAAACACCCCTAAAAGTTACGTATTTCATCTTCATAATACACCTGCAAGAAAGGCCACTATCCCCATTTAACAAATCCAGACAACAGAGACGGGGATAGTAATTCGGCCAACACTGCTTATAAAAGTGATGCTAAATCCAATGGCTCTCAGGTTGAGACCTGGCACCTTTTTCACCTAACTCACTGGTCTTAGTGTCAGAATTCCTGCTCCGTGATTGCAGTCATGGGATTTTTGTCTTATCACATGACGGTTTATGTTTTGACTCCACAGAGTGGGAAGTGATGGAGACAGGATGTTTGTGTTACTGTGTTCCGTGAAGTGGGACTATTGTCCTTTGTTCTTTTCCTCTTTGCTGTCTGATGCTAGAGAGAGGGAGCCATGTTGCAGTGCTCTGTATCTGTTTATATCTAAATAAAGTAGATTAGCCAAAATGCTGAGTTGCTGAGGTCTGTCATGCATGATGCACAAACTCTGCGGATCCCTAAGTGTGCCATTGTTGGTTGGCATTGGTCGCTGTGATGTTCGGGCTGAAGAAAGCTAATGAAGCTCCCGAACGATCGACCAGGAGGGAGGAAACATGCCAGTCGGGCGTGTGTCTCTGCCAGGGTCCTACTCAAGTGTAGGCTGAGCTCCTGACACTTAGTTCATGAGATTCATAACATTATAGTCACAAAATCACAGAACTGAAGAGTTGGAAGGAGCTACGAGGATCGTCTGATCCAACCCACTGCAATGCAAGAATCTTCCACCCAGCATGAGGCTCAAACCTGAGATTAAGAGTCTCACGCTCTGTCAACTGAGCTACCCATCAGGACATATGTCTTTGTTAATGTGCCCATTGTAAAGCCCTGCTGGTGGGCTTAAATTAATAGATTTGTATCTGAACCCGTGTAATCTCATTAGAGCGAGCAGAGGTATGTCACACAGAGGTTAATCAGGACTGCACCACGCTGCATTTCTAGTGTTTATGTAACTGTTCAGGAAGCATTTCCTGGAGATTGCACAGATGAAAACATATTTGCACAAATAGCATAAAGTAATGGGAGGCACATTATAACAAATCAACTGATTGTCGATGCAAAACTACTCTGAATATTAATGGCTTCTCCTTTAACATATCTACAATTTCCACTAATTGCTATGCTAGCACCATGCCCAATCTTGTTTTGATTAGCCATCTAGCTGCAATCCCATTTCGTTTTCACTCTTAAATCTACAGAAAGCTGTTTGAGAGGCTGCTGATAAATGCCTTTAATTCAGATCAAACTGACAATCAGCTGGGATGACTGATGTGTTTATAAAAGGGATGGATCTAATTATTACTTGCATTTGTATGTATTTTTCTCCCCTCCCCCCTTTAATTTTATGCCCCTAAAGACTATTATTAGAGACCATTTCTCTGCATGGATATTTTCCAGGACAGTATTCTTGGACTTGCTCCATTTCCCTGAGGGCAGTAAGAAGTTCCACAGGTGCAGCTTTCTCCTGGGTTTGGTTCTCTTTAGAAGGAGGTCACTGGAGGCTTATAGCATTTTGTAATGCTTGATTTTTTTTATGTACAAACATACAGGTTGAACATAGCTGGAGACACATGCTTAAACCAGAGGTGGAAAACTTGGGGAACATCCAGCCCCCATCTAACCCATCCCCATTTTGTCCATGATGCTAACCACATGGACAAAAGCAGGTTGCCTAATATTATTGTATTTCCAGGTGATTGACAGGTAAATGGCACCGCCCACCTGTCAGACCTGGTCTTGTGGTGGTTGTTGGGGAGAACATGATCGGGCCTGCCAGCTGGATCCAGTTCCCCACCACAACTCCAGATATAGGCATGAACAGTACATTTCCTTAGGGTGTGCACCTAGGTTTTTTTTTAAGGCAAACATCTATTGACTACATACTCATACTAAATCATACATATAACAACCTTCTCCCTCCTCTGCTGTGTTTGAACATGGCTATCATCGCCTTGGCTCCTGCCAGGCTAGGCATGCCCGGCTCTTGGCCGTTCCTCATGGGCATCGTTTCCAGACCTTGATCTGTTTTGGTGCCTACTCTGGACAGCGATTCCCGGACTGTCAATGTCAGCCTAGTAGACTGTGGTAGCCCAGACTGGACACTAGTGCCAGTGAGTCACGACCAGGCAGCACATTGGCTGTTGCACTCCTTGATCACAGATCTGTGATGCAGCCCAATTGCATTGGCTTTTTGCTGCCCGCGTCACATAGCCACTGGAAATCATAAGTGACATTATTTTTATTCATCAAACAAACTGAATCTAAAACTTAACTTTTTATTAGCAGCTAAACTTTATTTTAAAAGTACAAACTTAAAAAATGGGACACAAAATACTACATTTTTTTTGCTATAGGGATAATCAAGTTATACAGGTGAAACTCGAAAAATTAGAATATCGTGGAAAAGTTCATTTATTTCAGTAATTAAACTTAAAAGGTGAAACTAATATATGAGATAGATTAATGACATCCAAATCTCTTTTCTGATGAGAGCAGCTTTTGCATCTCATTTGGAAACCCAGGACCCAGAATCTGGAGGAAGAATGGGGAGGCACACAATGAATGCCAAATGCTTGAAGTCCAGTGTGAAGTTTCCGCAGTCTGTGTTGATTTGGGGAGCGATGTCATCAGCTGGTGTTGGTCCACTGTGCTTCATTAAGTCCAGGGTCAACGCAGCCGTCTACCAGGAGATTTTGGAGCACTTCATGCTTCCTTCCACAGACGAGCTTTATGGGGATGCTGACTTCATTTTCCAGCAGGCCTTTGGCACCTGCCCACACTGCCAAAAGTACCAAAACTTGGTTCAATGCCCATGGGATTACTGTGCTTGATTGGCCAGCAAACTCGCCTGACCTGAACCCCAGAGAGAATCTATAGGGCATTGCCAAGAAAAAGATGAGAGACATGAGACCGAGCAATGCAGAAGAGCTGAAGGCTGCTATTGAAGCTTCCTGGTCTTCCATAACACCTCAGCAGTGCCACAGGCTGATAGCATCCATGCCACGCCGCATTGAGGCAGTAATTGATGCAAAAGGGGCCCAAACCAAGTACTGAGTACATATGCATGCTTCTGAAGGGGCCATTAGAATATTGTTCTCTATATGGTCCCAAAACCCGTTTGAGCCATTTTCTCCTCTCTCAGAATGACTGGCTTAGGCGGGTAAAAAGCTGAATAGATTATTGTACCCCAGACAGGGGGCACAAGAAACAAAGCCCCATCTTATTGCTATTAGTGCAAATCACATTTTTTACATGTGAACACGTGTCGAGGTCCATCAGGAGAACAAAGCTGGCATTGATGGAACAGACTGAAATGTTTATTATTCAAGGTTGTAAAGAGATAAGCAGACTCAGGAACGCATATTGCCGTGGCGTGGAGAGGCTGGTGTGAGGCCATTGCAGGAAGAAGGGGGCAAGCAAGCCCATACAAGGTCAAGCCCATATAAGGACATAGAAAGTTGCCATAACTTTCGGTTTACAAAAGATCATGTGGTATTCTATTCTGCAAATCTATATAAAGGGGGCACACCCTGACTAGGTGTGCAGATTGCAAACTTATTGCTCTGTACCTTTGTTTTGCATATGCACTTCAAATAAAAATCCTGTTAATAACCTGCAAGGACATTTTGCCGCTTTCTGTGAATCTGTGCTCCAGGGACCCACGAGCAGATATGTGCAGTCCTTCACTTCTGCTTCTTAGAGGTTCAGTATCGCTCTATTTGCAGTCCTTGGTTTTGCTGATTTCATTTAATATTCTAATTTTCTGAGATTGTTAATTTGGGGTTTTCATTAGCTGTACGCCATGATCATCACAATTATAACAAATAAAGGCTTGACATATCTCACTTTGCATGTCATGAGTCTATCTCATATATTAGTTTCACCTTTTAAGTTGAATTACTGAAATAAATGAACTTTTCCACGATATTCTAATTTTTTGAGTTTCACCTGTATAAAGATACAGGCATTTTTCATGATCGTTATCTTTAACCAGATTGATCAACTCAAATTGATCAAAACAGATTAAGGTTTCTTTATCTTCCTGTCTTAGAGAATAAAACATCGCTCATCAGGTGTGAGCAAAAGGTGGCATGTGGTGCTTAGACTGAGACAGAGCTGAGAGGCAGAGATAGACAAAAGCAGAAGAAAAAGGCTGGAATGGATCTGCAGCTTCTGCCTGTGCTGCTTCCAGAGACAGACCCAGACAGAGAGCTGCATATGTATTCCACATCCATTCCAGCCTTCTAATTCTGTCTGTGTCTCCCTCTGTCTGCTTCCCTCCTCCCTTCTCCCGTTCTCTCTCTCTCCCCACCACTTCCCCATGGGCCATGGCAGCTGCGCCACTGCTCCGTATTTTCTTATTCTGAGATCCCCCTTGTTTTTGTTTTGTTTTTAATTAACCACACCTGGCACACCCTATGGACGTGCCTATGACCATTGGCCATACTGGCTGGGGCTGATCACAGTTATAGTCCCACATTTATAGGGCTACACTTCTCACAAAGCCACTGCCCCACATCAGAGAGAAAGGGCCTCACTCCCCAAAGGCACTTTCAGAGCTCCAAGCTAGCTCCCTCCCTGTGTATATTTTTCTGTCTTTCTCAAAGAACTGCAACTGTACTCTGTCTCCCCAATTCACACCTAGCTTGCCTCCTTCCTTGTGCAGGAAGAGAGGTCAGTGGGAAAATAAAGATGGCTCATATACAATCATGTCCTGGCCCACCTGGGCTATTTACCTGTAATTTCCCTAGCTGAAGATGTCCCTGGCAACTTTGCAGCAAGCCATACTCATTCTGGCCCGTTAATTTTCTCCCATCCAATGCCATCTGCTTCCCTCTCCACCCCCCACCCCCAATTTAAAACAGTGTTAATACAGATTGCAACACTGAATTTATCGCTGCTTTCCATGGTACACAAAGAATTTTGGGCACACCTCCCTGATGTATACCAGCAAGTGGGAAACGGAGAATTAGTTGTTCCCCATTTTGGTGCTCAGTTTCTTGTATCTCAGCAGATGATCTGGATTTTTAATCCCCTCCCCCCCACTGTGACAGAAGGCTTTCATCTCCTAGGAGACACATTTTGGGAGCAACAAGACCCAAGATATGTTAAGCAGGATGGCACTCGTGTAGCCAAATATTTCCATGTTAAACAAAGCTGTTTGGCTTGAGGAGATGGAATTAGATACGAAGCATCAGGTCACCCAGAAGATGCTGGTTATAAAAAGTGTCATAAAACCTGCCTTTTTATCTGATGCATTTGTGGGCTTTCAGTCTTTTACAGTGTCACTTGTATTGCAGCAGCTTGTGCTTCCTCCCCCTCCGTCCAAAAAAAGGAGCAGTGGGAGCATGTCATACCCTCCAACAATTTTGCAGCTGAAAATAGCCAACTTGCAACATTCGCAGTCATCACACTAAGGTTCACTGGTCCGGGCTTGTGTCTTTCCTGCATTTCACGTTGCAGAAGAACTCTGCTGCTACTCAGCCTTGTGTATGCCAAACTATGGAACTTGCTCTTGCAAGAGGCTATGAGGGCCACCGACTTGGATGTGTATCAACACGATGAAAAAACAGTGTAAACAGCTAAAAAAGCCACTATTTTGGGGTTAGGTTTCCCCCCAAAAGCTGAACTATTTGGATTTGTTTTTTAAAAAAAGCTTTAAAAAGTTCAACAACTTTGTGGGTATCAGGAATTTTACTTTTTGAAATATGGCAACCTTACTCTGTAGTTACCTGTCATCCACTGATTCAAAAGCCACTGGGTTAGGCAAACACTAGGAAAACAGAATTGATAGTACTGGGTTAGATTAAAGGTAAAGATAAAGGGACCCTTGACCATTAGGTTCAGTCATGACCGACTCTGGGGTTGCGGTGCTCATCTCGATTTATTGGCCGAGGGAGCCGGCGTACAGCTTCCAGGTCATGTGGCCAGCAGGACTAAGCTGCTTCTGGCGAACCAGAGCAGCACACAGAAACACCGTTTACCTTCCTGCCATTTATCTACTTGCACTTTGACGTGCTTTCGAACTGCTAGGTTGACAGGAGCTGGGACCGAGCAACGGGAGCTCACCCTGCCACGGGGATTCGAACCGCCGACCTTCTGATCGGCAAGTCCTAGGCTCTGTGGTTTAACCCACAGCGCCACCCGCGTCCCTCCACTGGGTTAGATTAGGGATGGGCAAATGTGTCAAATCTGGTTTCTCGCCATTTTTCATTTTTCCAGTCATTAGTTCAGCTCTCCTTATTTCAGCATCAGTTTGCTTTGGCAGAAGGGCTGAAGGAGCAATCCTTAAGACATGCTCCCTGGATATCAAGGCAAGAAGCCCGTTGCCATCTAAGGCTGCGACCCCTAACCCTGCTTACCTGGTAGAAAGCTCCATTGAATTGAACAGGGCTTATTTCTGAGCAGACATGGTTAGGACTGCAGCCTAAGTGCATCATTTTCAGGGCTAGCAGCAAACTGGAAGCAGTACAACATCTGGCTCATTTGTAGCTGCTAGACAACACCAGATTGGGCCTTATTGGCTGCTTATTGGCCCACTATATTTGGAGGCTGGAGTACATTTTCAGTGTTGCTGCTGCAGAACAACAGGAACTAAGCCTGAAGTTCCCATTGCCTACAAATAGCCCTGGCGGTGTCCAGCTGCCAGATATTGGCAAAGTCTCAAGCCGTCCAGCCATCTGATATAACTTTGAGCTGAGTATATCCATTATCTATATATCTATATCTGTATCTAGATCCGTATCTGTAGGGGTCTACTGCCTCTGAGCTATGTCAGCTGGTCAATACAAAAACAACTGTCTAGAAATTGGTGAATGAGTGTTGGGTTTTATTTTCCTCTCTCTCCCCCACCTGTCCTTTTTCCATTGTGTGTTGTATTTTTCTTTTTTTAAAATATTATTTATTTATTTAAGTGTAAGCCCGCAGGTAGAGAGTGTGTTGTTTTGATTTCATGTAAGCTGCTCTGGTATCCTTGTTGGCTGAAGGTAAGGGGGGACCCCTGACCGTTAGGTCCAGTCATGAACGACTCTGGGATTGCAGCACTCATCTTGCTTTATTGGCCGAGGGAGCCGGCGTACAGCTTCTGGTCATGTGGCCAGCATGACTAAGCCGCTTCTGGCGAACCAGAGCAGTGCACGGAAACGCCGTTTATCTTCCCGCCTGCTTTCGAACTGCTAGGTTGGCAGGATCAGAGACCGAGCAACGTGAGCTCACCCCGTCGTGGGGATTTGAACCGCCGACCTTCTGATTAGCAAGTCCTAGGCTCTGTGGTTTAACCCACAGCGCCAGCCGTGTCCCTGTTGGCTGAAGAGCTGGATACAAATTGTTGGTTGGTCTGTCTGTCTCTCTCCCCCCTGCTTTTTGAGGATTAAGAGGTTAAAAATATGCAAGTTTTTTTTTTTTTTGCAAATGCTGTTTTTAAAAAAGAAAGGAAAGCAACATAAGCTTAAGCGGCAACTTTTCGTTATGCTCATACATGGAAAAGATTGGCGTATTGGGGTGGAGGTGGGGAAGGAAGAAGATAGATATGAAATCATGGACCTTTAGCATACGGTACAAAGTAGACAATCAAAAGGACAAGTACCCTTTTGCTCACTTGACATTTCCATTCCGCTCTAATCTATCTGTTGAAGACTTTTCTTCTGCCTGTCCACTCTCATTGTGGCATCCATGAGCGGCTCTGCTATCTTTTCCTGCAAGAGGAAGCCCTTGAGAGATCAAAGTCTATCATTTATCTTTCAAAAAAAAAAAGGGAGGTCGGATAGAGGGAGATTAGCCAACAACTGACGTTTGAGAGGGTACTATTGAAGTGAAGAGATTGCTAGGTGACTCTAAAAAACAGGTCATGTCAACCCATCCAGGTTTTCTTAAGAGGACAGGATTAATTTAAGCTGAACTTTTTGATACGTCTTAGATACGTCATAAATAATAATGGGTTTGTAGCTCCAATCCAGACTAAGTTAGTTGAACTCCCCGACCCCTAACATCAGTGATACACGTTAACCATGACATAACCTGAAGTCTCATTGATACCAGAAGAAATTTAGCTCAACTAACTTTGTTCTGGGCCCAGCCCAGAACAAAGTTATTTTATTATCCTAAAATAATCTGACTTAAAGAAGTTCTCATCCTCAACTCCCAGAAGAAGAAGAAGAAGAAGAGGAGGAGGAGGAGTTTGGATTTGATATCCCGCTTTATCACTACCCGAAGGAGTCTCAAAGTGGCTAACATTCTCCTTTCCCTTTCTCCCCCACAACAAACACTCTGTGAGGTGAGTGGGGCTGAGAGACTTCAAAGAAGTGTGACTAGCCCAAGGTCACCCAACAGCTGCATGTGGAGGAGCGGAGACACGAACCCAGTTCACCAGATTACGAGTCTACCGCTCTTAACCACTACACCACATGAAACTCCCGAAAAGCATATCTGGAGTATTGGGGGGCAGGGGGAGCTCCTGAACAATGTGAAATCAGAAGAAGGAGGTTGCAGGTGGAGAAGAATTCCCAGGAAATGCTTGTTCTGTGAATGTAACGTCCTCCAGTTAAATGATCATAGGATGCAAGCACAATATGAGACAGTTCCCCCATGCCTCACAGTCCCTCAAGCCTCATTGTTCAGGCGGGTCCCCCAGCAGCCCAGAGAGGCTTTTGTATTCCTGAGTGGTAGCTGCAGTGGGGAGGAGAGGACAGAAATCTTTCCTTCTATGAGCATCCTGGAATAAAGTTAGCTTAGGATCCAAGCCATAGGTTGGTAGTCAACTGTTGCTCAGAAAGAACTGTAGCTCAGTGACAGAGCATCTGCCTTGCAAGCAGAAGGTGCGAGGTTCAGTCCCCAGCATCTCCAGGTAGAGGGGGGCCTATTCCTCCTCTGTGCATCAGCTTCACCACTGAGTAGACCCACTGCAGTTAATGAACATGACTAAGTTAAGTCCGGGACACAGGTGACGCTGTGGGTTAAACCACTGAGCCTAGGGGTTGCCGATCAGAAAGTCGGCAGTTTGAATCCCCATGATGGGGTGAGCTCCCGTTGCTCGGTCCCTGCTCCTGCCAACCTAGCAGTTTGAAAGAACATCAAAGTGCAAGTAGATAAATAGGTACCACTCCAGCGGGAAGGTAAACGGCGTTTCTGTGCACTGCTCTGGTTCGCCAGAAGCGGCTTAGTCATGCTGGCCACATCAGCCGGAAGCTGTACGCTGGCTCCCTCGGCCAATAAAGCGAGATGAGCGCTGCAACCCCAGAGTCGTCCGCGACTGGACCTAACGGTCAGGGGTCCCTTTACCTTTTAAGTGAAGTCCATCAATTTCAATAGGTACAAACATAGTTGATGGTCACCCATAGTCACAGCACAGCACTATGGCAATCTTTCCCTCAGTGCAAGCAGTTACGTTTGCCAGAGAGAACTATCCCCTCTCTCCTCCTCCTCTGTGTACTATTCTGGGGGTTCTCATCCCCCAGGAGAGAGGGAAAGTCCCATTGTGTTAGTGGAAGTCCTGGTGTGGGCTTCTGCTAGCAGGACTCGTTAGCTGAATCCGGCCCCCGGTCCTTAAGGTTCAGGGACAAGTGCCATTGCTGTCTATGGAGACATATGAACCCCAAAAGAGACTTGATCCTTTCCTTCTTGGTGGAAATGGACATATCACATTCCCAATGGACACCCTGCGACATGTAGTCCCCTTGCTGTCCTCATTGGGAACATGACCCTTCCCCAAGAAGCTGGAGGCCCACCCACAATATATTACTTTTGCTGGTATCTTTCCCTCTCACTCCTTGGGAACATTTTGGAGCCCATTTTGTTTGCAGAAGAAGAGGGAAGTGTGTTTGAGTGTGTGCTGAGCTGTGCTGAACTTCTTTCGATTACGTTAATTGTATATATTTTTTTTGTCTCAATGCGTTTTTAGTAATTTTGTAAGGTGCTTTGAATTTGTTTGTAAAGAAAAGTGGGGCAAACATGTCTAAATAAATAAATACAACAACATTTGGCTCTCCTATTTCTGCTAATTAAATTATTCATCGATCTATTTCGTATGAATATTAAAAGAGTAAGCATGATTTTTGAGAAGGCTCGGTCGAGCTGCAGATCAGCATAGCAGGAAGATAAAAAGCAAACAATAAGATTTTTTAAAATAAGTTTAATTAAATAGAGGGCTTTAGAGGCCCATAGACAAGAGAGATGTGCAGCCACAACAGTGAAGGGAAACATCTAAAGACTGGAGAGTCGGGGGGGGGGGGGAGTAAGGTGTCATGTACAAAAGCTCCTTTATGGACAAAAATATTCAGAATTAGTTGTTTGGGATCTTGTGAGTTCACATAAAACCTCAGTATATAATTCTTGGCCACTACATTTACAGAATTAACTCTGAGCATTCTGCAGCTTCTTCTCCTATATACCAGGGTTCCCCAAACTTGGGTCTCCAGCTGATTTTGGACTACAATTTCCATCATCCCTGACCACTGGTCCTGCTAGCCAGGGATGATGGGAGTTGTATTCCAAAACCGGCTGGAGACTCAAGTTTAGGAAACCTGATATATACTAATAATGGTTCTCTTTTCCAGGCTAAACATACCCAGCTCCTTCAACCGTTCCTCATAAGGCTTAGTTTCCAGACCCTTGATCATCTTGGTTGCCCTCCTCTGCACACATTCTGGCTTGTCAACATCCTTCTTAAGCTGTGGTGCCCAGAACTGGACACAGTATTCATTGCTGTGTATATTTTAAAAGGTGGCTTTCTGTGGAGAACAAATTCATGGAAATGCTGGAATTTCACATGAAAGCCTTTCCCCCATCACACTTGCTTTTAAGTCCAGCTCTGCAGATGCAGGAATCCTGGTGTAAGTTTGAGCGTCTGCCAGGAAAGAATCATTACCCGGAAGAAGGCATGTCCCAGTGGGGCTATTTTGTCTGGAGTGTGTCAGGGAATGCTTCCCATTAATCAAGGCTGAGGATCAAAGCAAAAGAAGGGCACTATAAATATTCACGGCGGGTCAATATCATGAACTGCAAACCAACAGTGTAGTTCATATGTTGCTCCGACCAAGGCTTGAGTAATCATTTATGCCTGACAGCAGATCGGTGATTTGGATAAACACTGGAAAGCCACAACACATGCACAAGTGCAGATACTTTTGTGTGCATAAAATGCATATATAAATGAAAACAGCATAAGAAGAAATAGAGAGCTAGAATCATAAAATCATGGAATTGGAAGGGATCGTGAGTGTCGTCTAGTCCAACCCTCTGATAACACAGGAATCTTTTGCCCAACATAGGCTTCGAACCCATTACTCTGAGATTAAGAGTGTTGCACTCTACCAACTGAGCATCTAAGGGACAATTGTTTTGTACTGCTTACACACATGTGTCTGTATACAGTGGTACCTCGGGTTACATACGCTTCAGGTTACATATGCTTCAGGTTACAGACTCCACTAAGCCAGAAATAGTGCTTCAGGTTAAGAACTTTGCTTCAGGATAAGAACAGAAATCGGGCTCTGGTGGCGCGGCGGCAGCAGGAGGCCCCATTAGCTAAAGTGGTGCTTCAGGTTAAGAACAGTTTCAGGTTAAGAACGGGCCTCCGGAACGAATTAAGTACTTAACCCGAGGTACCACTGTATTAGGAGAAATTGACAGTAAAATACAGCTGAATTTGAATGAGCTTTTTAAAACAAACAAACAAACAAACAAACAAACAATTGTAGACTGCTGCCTAAGATGTTGAGATTTGAACTTCAGTGGAGAAATGAACTGAGAGAATTGACACATTCACCCATCCCTATGTATGACCTCCCTCTTTGAACACCAAAGATCACCAGCTGACAGCCTCTGCCCCCTCTCCAAACACTCTTACACCCTGCCAAAGCTTCTTCTTTGCCTGCTGGGCGCTCTCTTCATTTAAACTGCATTAGGGTTTCCAGTACCAGCTTCTGAAGCAGGTGCAAAAAGCCAGCTATCCATTTGCTGCCTCAGGTTCCACAGAGGTGAGATTTCTCAAACAATCAGAGAAAAAGCGCACTCCAGCCCACAGACTTTCTGAGCCTATGATGGGATAGAAATTCTCAGAGAGTTTCTGCCACATAGAACTAATTGTTAAGGAAAAGTCATGGGTGGCCACCGATGGCTCGTTACCTTAATTAATTCTAATTACTTCCCATAAAGCAATTATCGGAACCAAGGTATGCTGTGTAGATAATAGGATTTTTTTTGGCATTTGTGTCCTGTCCACTCCATGATATACTTTTGGAACAGAAAAGAATCTACCCTAGAATTGAAGAATTCCGAGCCTGCCATTTGCACAGGTAACGGAAAGAGATAGAACTGAAAATAAAACCACTGACATCATAATGCTGTTATACAGCTCTATGGCGTAACAGGATTTAGAATACTGTGTAGAGTACTGGTCGCCTCATCTCAAAAAGGATATTGTAGAGCTGGGAAACAGGGCAACCAAGATGATCAAGGGCAGGTGTGCTAGGTTCTGTTCAACATTGTGAGGACCTGGCGCATGTGTCATAGCTATGTGTCCATAGCTGTCAAATGTCCCTTATTTGAAGGGACAGTCCCTTATTCCAGCGCCACGTCCTGCTTCTGTCCCTTATTGATGGATGCCCCTTAAATGTCCCTTAAATGATGTCCCTTAAATTTCAAAGGAAGCAGCTCCTCTCCCTCCCTCCCTGCTGGCCAGGGAGGAGGGAGGCTCCAACTGTGTTACTTCGCTGTGTTGCTCACCCAATAAGAAGTCTAAGAACGACTGGGGGGTGGAGCTTGCATGCCTTGTGTGTGGCTAGTTAATGCAAGCGGAGGAGTTTTTTGAATGCTGGACACCATTTTGTTGCACGTGCTGCTGCAAACTTTGCAGTGCAAAGCCAGGCCGGAGAGCCATCTTATGTTGAGGCTGCATAGGCCTTGTGGTTCATGTGATTCAGATTCTATTCAGTTGAACCTCTGGTTACAAAGTTGGTTGGACAGTGTTCTCGAAGCTACCAGCATGAGTTTGACCAGACTGCAGGAGGACAGTAACACTGGAGTGCCTGGAACAGGTGAGGCTGCAGGTCCCTTATTTTGGCTACTGGTCCCTTATTTTCAAATCTATAAGTTGACAGCTATGGTGATGTCACATGGTAGGAGGAGGTCCGATGGGGCCTGTCGCAACTCACGAAACACCCAACGGGGCCTAGTCACAGCAGTGACTGCTGCAGAATATTGAGGGGGTCAGCCCCCCCTCAGTGAAAATTAGGGGGGTTTGGCTCCGCATAGATGGCACAACTGATCAAAGGAATGGAACAACTGCTATGAGGAAAGATTGCAGCATTTGGGGCTACAGTGGTACCTCGGGTTAAGAACTTAATTCGTTCCAGAGGTCCATTCTTAACCTGAAACTGTTCTTAACCTGAAGCACCACTTTAGCTAATGGGGCCTCCCGCTGCCGCCACGCTGCCGGAGCACAATTTCTGTTCTCATCCTGAAGCAAAGTTCTTAATGCGAGGTACTATTTCTGGGTTAGTGGAGTCTGTAATCTGAAGCGTCTGTAACCTGAAGCGTATGTAACCCGAGGTACCACTCTATTTAGTTCAGAGAAAATGTGAGTAAGAGGTGACCTGATAGAAGATTATAAAATTATGCATGGCATAGAGAAATTAGATAGGGAAAAGTATTTTTTCTCCCTCTCTCGTAATACTAAATCTCATGGACATTGAATGACGCAAAATGTTGGAAGATTCAGGACACAAAGATCTTCATGCAGTGCCTAGTTCAACTATGGAACTAGTTTCCACTAAGCTGGATGGCTTTATAAGAGGATTAGACAAATTCATGGAGGGTAAGTCTCCCAATTGCTGCTAGCCATGACTGAGGCGAATGTTCTGTCTCCATGGTGAGAGGTAATAATGCTCCTAAATACCAGCTGCTGGAAGCCACAGGAGGGCAGACTTGTAGATTTCTCACAGGAATCTGGTTGGCCACTGTGAGAACAGGATGCGGACCTAGGTGGGCGGTGGGCCTGATCCAGCAAGCTCTTGTGCTGTTCTTCTGCAAAGGAAGTGGTAGAGTCCTGCAGCAGTAAGAGTGCTGTAGCACTTCAGACTGCAGAGGGAAATCACATTTTAAGCACATATGTACAAACCTAGACAGCATCTTAAAAAGCAGAGACATCACTTTGCCAACAAAGGTCCATATAGTTAAAGCTATGGTTTTCCCAGTAGTGATGTATGGAAGTGAGAGCTGGACCATAAAGAAGGCTGATCGCCAAAGAATTGATGCTTTTGAATTATGGTGTTGGAGGAGACTCTTGAGAGTCCCATGGACTGCAAGAAGATCAAACCTCTCCATTCTGAAGCAAATCAGCCCTGAGTGCTCACTGGAAGGACAGATCATGAAGCTGAGGCTCCAAGACTTTGGCCACCTCATGAGAAGAGAAGACTCCCTGGAAAAGACCCTGATGTTGGGAAAGATGGAGGGCACAAGGAGAAGGGGACGGCAGAGGACGAGATGGTTGGACAGTGTTCTCGAAGCTACCAGCATGAGTTTGACCAAACTGCGGGAGGCAGTGGAAGACAGAAGTGCCTGACGTGCTCTGGTCCATGGGGTCACGAAGAGTCGGACACGACTAAACGACTAAACAACAACAACAACAAATGTACTCTCCGCAGTTTTGAATGCTCTCCTCTGCAAAAACGAAAACAAACCCTGCAAGGAGGGGGAGAAAAAACAACCCAGCAGAGAAAGGGCTGTGCTAGAGTCTTGCACCCTGATAACCTAATGTTCTACTTCCCCCCATCATGGGAGAGCCTTCCATCATGCTACCCCGCACCTGAAGTTGGAAGTGGTAAGCCCACCTTAGACAGCTACTAGCTCATTTTCACTTCATTCTGCTGCAAGTACACATTCCAGTTTTTAAATTTATCAACACATTCATCTCACTAGATTGCTTGTACCCAACATACTTGTATTCATCATATTGGTTTCCGTTGGGTGCCTTCTGAAATGTGTTCCACCCTGGCTGCTGTTTGCAGAGAGCCCTCTAATTAATCGAGACATTTCCTTTCTAGTGATTTACAGTGGTTTCTACTCCTGGCAATGAGGTTCAAATAAAGTAGCATAAATCTCCCCATGATTAGAAAATGTGATCATTTATTAGCTGGACAATCAGTTTATTTAAAGGCCTAATTAATTTGCACCTTGAGAATCCTTTCTGCAGGTAAGATAAACTACAAATAATTACTGGTTCTCCTCTGGTAAAATGAAAAGTCACACAAGACTGCTAGTAGGAATTTGTGACTCGACAAGGCAAATAGAATAGTCTTCTGTTTGCAAAGCTCTGATTTATTCCCCACTCTCCTCCTAACATTAGTGTTAGGAAGGATTTCAGAGACATGAAAGGTCCCCAGATGGCGACAGAACATGTTAGTGTTGTTTCTTTACTTGCAGTAGCCTTGTTCTGTGCAAAATTTGCTGAAATGTACTCAGGGTCCTGTAGTGATTTCATGCTCTTTATTGCAGCTTGTAAAACAGTGATTGAATTGCCCCCCAGACCTCAGGCTTTTATATACATTATTTACCCAATGAGTCCCATCTGATTGGCTGATTCTGCTTCCCTCCTGGAGCCTGATTGGTCTTTTCCTGCAGGCCAATCACTTGTTGCATTCTACGATCCTACCAGCCCAATAGGCTGATTAACTTCCTCCTGGAGCCTGATTGGTCTTTTCCTGCAAGCCAATCAGTTGTTGCCTTCTAGGATCCTACTTTCCTATTGTTCTAGGATCCAAGCTTAGTACATAACATTTGCGCAATCTGTTTTCCACCAGTCCTGGAAAATAGTTTTGAGAAAGCCCCGAGTTTCTAATTTTGAGGGAACCCTGAGCAGAGTGTCCTCTGCTGGGTCCTCTCCTTTGGCAGTGGGTCCTGGTCAGCTGACCTGGCAGCACCTCAAGCATCTGGATCTAGCCACCCTGTTAATTTCCCACAATGCCCCATTAGTGCTGCTAGATTTGGGGAATTGTGGGAAATGAAAAAGAAATGGCTAGATTCATTCATTGTCTCTCAGAGTTTGGAAGGCTGGGCCAGAATATTTTTTTCAAGGTGGTGTGTGTGTGTAACTGATCAAGGATGTAGGGTGCTAATACCTGACCTACACTTGTCAACATATTTTGGAGTTGTCTGGAAGTGCCCCTTCTGTCCAGAGACACTTGGGCAAAACAGCCCCTCTTTTCTGACATGCTCCTGGGAGTCGATGCCCCTTCTTCAGTGGGTGAGATTGAAGACCCTGGATCAGAAGGAGAATTGCACACAGGCAGTGGCGGAGCTTCATGCTCCGGCACCGGGGGGCGGAGAGCAGGCGGGGGAATGGCTGGTGCACATCCCGGGGGCGTGGCACACTGCCTGGGGGGCGTGGCTCCCAGCGCAGGGGGCCCCCCAGCCACGATAGCACCCCACCGGGATTGTGCTGCCAGGGGCAGTGCGCTCCCCTCGCACTCCTCTTCCTCCGCCACTGCACACAGGGCCAACCCCAGAAGCACTTTTGTGAGATGAGGCCAAGGATGTTGCCCTGCTGTCCTCTGATTCAGAGGACTCCGTCGCAGAAATCTCAGTACAGTCAGACTCTTCCCTCACTGCTTTGAAGTCAAGGGTTGCAGGAATGGGCTGGGCCTCTTAAACAGAAGAGGCACTTTTCAGTAGAGAAAGAGAAACTGTGGCAACAGAAGGGGGCAAGCAGCTAGGGTGAGGGGGCTGGAGAAGACCCTTTGCCCAGTGTCCCCTCAAACCTGCAGTAGTCTTGGTTCTAGGAAATGTTACTCCTGCAAATGCCCAAATCCTATGAGAGCCTAGAGCAGGAATGGGAAACCTTTGTGACTCCAGATGTTGTTGGACTTACAAGTCCCATCGCCCCTGACCATTGGCCATGCTAGCTGAGGCTGATGGGAATGGGGTTCCAGCAATATATTTCATAGAATTTTAGAGCTGAAGGGATCAACTCCTTGCAGTGCGGGAATTACAGCTAAGGAATCCTTCTCAGATGCTATCCAATCTCCATTTTAAAACTTCTGATGGAGAGTCCACCAACTTCCATGGTGTCCATTTCGCACTCAAACAGCTCTTATCACCAGAAAGTTCTTCCTAATGTTTAGTCGGAATCTCCTTTGTTACAGTGGTACCTTGGGTTACATACGCTTCAGGTTACAGACTCCGCTAACCCAGAAATAGTGCTTCAGGATGAGAACAGAAATTGTGCTCCGGCGGCGCGGTGGCAGCAGGAGGCCCCATTAGCTAAAGTGGGCTTCAGGTTAGGAACAGTTTCAGGTTAAGAACGGACCTCCGGAATGAATTAAGTACTTAACCTGAGGTACCACTGTACAGGTTCTGTCCTCTGAAGAAGTAGACGCAGAAGCTTATGCCATAATAAGTCTGTTACTTTTTTTAAGGCACCACAAGGCTCTCCTTTGTTCTTGCTACAAAAGCCTAACACGGGTATCCCTCTGGAAAATGCCACAAGTCTATCATAGTTATTATTAAACTTAAAAAGACAAAGGACTGTTTGTTTGTTTTTTAAGTCTGCATATCTGTTAAGAAGAAGTAGAAACAAGATCCCTTGGATTGTGGAGAAAATGAAAAGTCCACCTTAGGTCTGGAATTCGTTTCTGACTAGATTTGTAATAATTTGGAGCATAAGAAGTTCTCCATGCCTGGCTTAGAGGAAGAAGTGGACTTTCTTCACTTGGAAATGCGCAGCAGCAACACATACATTCAGTGTCACAACACGCTGTGCATTGCAGCTCACACAGCCGTGTAAACCACACTAAAGAGCTTCTGGTTGTCATTTCACACAGGCTTATTTCATTTACTCACAGACCATGAATGGCAGGAAAATGAGAGACATGCCGCTGAATATATCTTTTGTTCAGCCCAATGATTACCTGGTTTCTGTCTAGCACAGCTCGCTGTCAAGGTAGTTACACCAAATAAAGATCTATTGTACCTTGACAGGCAGACCAGTCGGAGCATGTCCTGATCATTATTTTGCATTCTTTCTTTTTTTTATTTCCATGTATATATTAATACATCAAAACAAATATTTTCAGACAAGAAAAACAAGGGGAGAGGGAGGAAAATACAGTGAACAGAATGTACAGGAAATAGAAGTGACATTAAGTGATGTCTCAATAGAGTTTGGTGAAAGGAAACATAGGGTTGAATATTATATTGGAATTTCCAGACGCTCATAAGCAACGACTAAATCTACCATTTTGTAAGTTACGTTGACCACTTGAATGGTAGGCTGGCTTGTAAGCAACACTGTATTCTATACTTTTCTTAATCATTCTACAACGGTATGTATTTTCATTGGTGAACAATATTGATAATTATGTTTATCATCTGAAAATTCCTCTTTTCAGACACCTGAAGCATCAAAATTAAGTCTAAAGGCATCCTTATTATGCATTTGTCACATTTGAACCTCATCTTTCCACAATAAAATCCACAGTAAAAATAGCCACTCCATAAAACAAACAAATAATACCACAATAAAGTGATATATAAATCAGATAAGAGGAAATACAATGATTTTTTTAAAAAAATGACAGTCAGTTAAAAAACAAAATTAAATAAAATTCTGATTAAAAATCTGACCACCAGTGAGGCGGGAATCAGCACAGCAGGACAAAGACCGCTTGGAAGGCCATCCTATGCCATTTTAAGATGTGTTGGGGGGTGTTTTGTTGTTTTTATTTCAGTTATACTTTGTGGTTTTATATTCTGATTTTATTCTGTGATCTGCCCTGACACCTGCGGGTATAGGGCGGTATACAAATAGTAGTAGTAGTAGTAGTAGTAAGTAAGTAAATAAATAAATAAATAAATAAAACAAGGGGGCTAAATGAGCTAAACCAGGCTTCCTTAACCTTGGCCCTCCAGATGTTTTGAGACTACAATTCCCATCATCCCTGACCACTGGCCCTGCTGGCTAGGGATCATGGGAGTTGTAGGCCAAAAACATCTGGAGGGCCGAGGTTGAGGAAGCCTGAGCTAAACGATCCTACGCCAACAGAACTCTGCATACCTCTCAAGTGTCCCAATAAAACTGGGACATCCCATTTTCCCCTTGCATGAGAGCACGGCAGCCATTTTGGAAATGGATGTTGGAATGTGAAGAACTGAACTTATGACTGGAAGAATGAGAGCCTGAGAGAAACTGAATTCGACCCATTTACTGACCCCTAGCTCTTAAGAGTCCTGTCTGAAGTGTTCTACAATGCCCAGCTGAGATATAAAGAACTCTTACACTCGCTGAAGGCATTGTTCATGAGGCAGTTTTAACGTTTTGGATTTTATTAGCACCATGGACTTCTAAAACAAATGGTATTGTTGGACTTTGAGAGACTCATACGTTTCCTCCCCATCAAAACTGTTCTGGAAAAAACTACCCCTAAAATGTACACTTGCTCTTGACATTTAAGCCGGGAAAATCACCGTTGATCACTTGCACTTTCCAATTTCATTTCACCCAGAAGGCTTAGGGTTGTTCAAGCTGCTGGTGTCCTCATATTTACACAGGGAAGTGATAAAGAGTCTCCCAGAAGGATTTGAAATTTGATTTGCCCTCCTCTCCAGTCTCCAACAATGATAGATGATGAAACCAGACTCCTTTATCAAGTGAGCCAGATCCAGTAATAAAATTATTCAAGGCACCAGGGACTACTGTAAAGGGCCGAGGTTGTAAATTCATTGTTGCAGCTTTTGTACACAATTATGCAGCCATGGCAAAATTGTTCCGCTTCCTCCTTTATGGCGACATGGCAACCCAGAGTTTTAAACACCTTAATTGGCACAATAGGGAGCACTCTGTGATTGGGGGAAAGATGGCCCTGCAATGAAGCTGAAAATTTAAATGGGAATGTGTTTATGGCCCTAAATGTTTTATGCAGTTTTCAGCTGTGATTAGGAAGGCTTTAAAACACTCTGTGGAAATGTATCTATAGGGAGCACCTTTATGAACAATGGAAAGTGCAATAGTTCCTCCAGCAAAATCCATCCTTTGTGATTGCTCTACCATTTAATCTTTAGACACAACAGCTCACATTTTGCATAGCAGAGACAGATAGGATGTGGGAAATGAAGTAAAAGAGCTGTAAGTTGGGTCCACAATATCTTTTCTCGTTGGTGGTGCTCAGTCAGGAAAAACTGGTAAATGTCACTATAGAAGGAGACCATCAAATCAGAAAAACAATGCTGGATGTGCTGTGAACAGGCAGGTACCTACTAGGGATGCTGGAGGAGTTTGATCTTAATAATAATATTAACAACAACAACAATTTATTACCCCACCCATCTGGCTGGGTTTCCCCAGCCACTCTGGGCAGCTTTCAACAGAACATTAAGAACAGAATAAAACTTTAAATATTAAAAACTTCCCTGATGTCTTCTAAAAGTCAGATAGTTGTTTATTTCCTTGACATCTGATGGGAGGGCGTTCCACAGGGCAGGTGCCACTACTGAGAAGGCCCTCTGCCTGGTTTCCTGTAACTTTGCTTCTTGCAGTGAGGGAACTGCCAGAAGGCCCTCAGAACTGGCCCTTAGTGTCCGGGCAGAACGATGGGGGTGGAGACACTCCTACAGGTATACTGGGCTGAAGTCTAATAGGAACAAAGTCTAATATGAATGAAACTGATCTTCCCCTCCTGATCTCATGTTTGGGTTGAGCACAGTTATCCTTTGGATACTGCGCTTCTCTGAATTTTTGATGCATCTCTCAGATCCAAAAAACCCACCCCAAGGCATTTTACAATATTTATTTTTATGTTATGTCATTTATATACTGCATTCTGCCCCAGAGGCGACCAAAGTGGTGAACAGCTTACTAATACAAAGTAAGATGCAACCTGTTCTCTTTGTCCATGGAGTTTTCTTGGCAGGGATACTGGAGTGGCTTGCCGGTTCCTCCTCCAGGTGGATCACGTTTGGTCAAAACTCTCCACTATGACCTGTTCATCTTGGGTGGCCTGCATGGCATAGCTCATAGCTTCTCTGAGTTATTCAAGCCCCTTCGCCACGGCAAGGCAGTGATCCATGAAGGGGATCAGAGACCAAATTGCAAACATGCGCTGGATTATGGGGAAAGCTAGAGAGTTCCAGAAAGACATCTACTTCTGCTTCATTGACTATGCAAAAGCCTTTGACTGTGTCGACCACAGCAAACTATGGCAAGTTCTTAAAGAAATGGGAGTGCCTGATCACCTCATCTGTCTCCTGAGAAATCTCTATGTGGGACAAGACGCTACAGTTAGAACTGGATATGGAACAACTGATTGGTTCAAAATTGGGAAAGGAGTACGACAAGGCTGTATATTGTCTTCCAGCTTATTTAACTTATATGCAGAATTCATCATGCGAAAGGCTGGGCTGGATGAATCCCAAGCCAGAATTAAGATTGCCGGAAGAAATATCAACAACCTCAGATATGCAGATGACACAACATTGATGGCAGAAAGTGAGGAGGAATTAAAGAACCTTTTATTGAGGGTGAAAGAGGAGAGCACAAAATATGGTCTGAAGCTCAACATCAAAAAAACGAAGATCATGGCTACTGGTCCCATCACCTCCTGGCAAATAGAAGGGGAAGAAATGGAGGCAGTAAGAGATTTTACTTTCTTGGGCTCCATGATCACTGCAGATGGTGACAGCAGTCACGAAATTAAAAGACGCCTGCTTCTTGGGAGAAAAGCAATGACAAACCTAGACAGCATCTTAAAAAGTAGAGACATCACCTTGCCAACAAAGGTCCGTATAGTAAAAGCTATGGTTTTCCCAGTAGTGATGTATGGAAGTGAGAGCTGGACCATAAAGAAGGCTGATCGCCGAAGAATTGATGCTTTTGAATTATGGTGCTGGAGGAGACTCTTGAGAGTCCCATGGACTGCAAGAAGATCAAACGTATCCATTCTTAAGGAAATCAGCCCTGAGTGCTCACTGGAAGGACAGATCATGAAGCTGAGGCTCCAATACTTTGGCCACCTCATGAGAAGAGAAGACTCCCTGGAAAAGACCCTGATGTTGGGAAAGATGGAGGGCACAAGGAGAAGTGGACGACAGAGGATGAGATGGTTGGATGGTGTTCTTGAAGCTACCAGCATGAGTTTGAACAAACTGTGGGAGGCAGTGGAGGACAGAAGTGCCTGGCGTGCTCTGGTCCATGGGGTCACGAAGAGTCGGACACGACTAGACGACTAAACAACAACAAAGCAATGCACTCTTGTGGTCATTTATAAACAGATGTAATAACGCTAGCCTTGGATCAAGTGGCACCACCTATCCTGTAATAGAACAAACTTCTTCAAAGACCAATTTCCAAATAGGTTTGCATCCCCTGTAGGAAAGGACTGGCCCGATTTATCTCTGGAATAGCTGAGTTTATTCTACTCTGTCAAAAGCTCTGGATATGCATGGCGTTGCCCTCATTTGCACCACCAGCCAATTTGGTCCCTTGGGTAGGGAGAGGAACCAGTTTAGGAAGAGAGTGAGAGAGTGAAAGCAAAGGACCAAGTAGGATGGCTTTAAGCTTTATCTTCTATGATACAGATCCTAATAAGAGGGAAGAATCAATCCATAAAACAATTTCTCTTTCTTTGGTTCAAGGCTGCACACACAGATGGGCCTGTGTGTCTGAGATGAACCAGAGCACTGTGGGCAATGTGTACTTATATTTAGCAGCCGGCTTGTCGGCCAAGTCAATTTGTATTCAATGGCTCGCTCACATCTCCCACATTCACGAATGTTTGGGGGGGGGGGGAACGGGACTGAGAACTCATATTGATTTTTTTTAAAGCACTACTTTAGGTTTTATTCCCAGGAATTGATTCCAGCAGTCATTTTATATTATAAATCAGGACAGCTAAGTAATATGCACACGAGTGGGTTCCCTTTAACAAAAATTAGCTCTAATGTTTCATCTTGATTAAATATGGCAGATAGGTTGCTTTACTGTTTGCACAGGAGAAATCTACTAGGTGCTTTATAAATCCCAAGTAATAGAGAAATGCCATTAATTCCCGACTCCTTTCTGATTAATATACATTGGACTCAGATCATAAGCATTCCATTATTTCAGTAGCATCTGCGTGGCTTATTTTAGCTTTGGAGTCCATTCCGTATAAGGGTGTAATATGCCTGCTTGTGAATTATGCATAGGAAGAATGTGCCGGGGGTTCATTCATTCATTTATCTCTTGCAACAGTTTTTATCCCACCTTTCTGCACAAAAGGTGCTCACAATTTAAAAATCAAAACAAGAAAATTGCAAAGAAAATGGCCCGTAAGTTATACAAATAGCAGCAGGGGAAACCCTATCAAAGGAGGTGGCATTTAAGTAGAAACATGCTCGAATAAAGCCATTTTCATTAGTCACCAATAGGCAGGCACAGATGGGGTCAAGTAAAACAGAGGCTTTCAACAATCTGGTCACCACGCTTGTGTGATGGCACAAGCGGAAGCAGGAGAGGAAGGGAATCAGGTAACTAACCCAGCTCCTTTTGGTGCGATCCTTTTCCCTTTTGCTCTGATGCCTTAGTATTTTAGTTACATTTTTTTCTCCTTCCAGCCTTCCAATATTCATTCCAAGGTATGGCAACCAGAACTGTACAAAATATTCCAAGTGCTTTTGGACCATAAATACGTATAAATGAAAGGCAGTATTCCATATTTGGTTTAGTTTTGACCCTCTTTGGCAGAGCCTGAGACTCTTAATCTCAGGGTTGTGGGTTTGAGCCCCATTGCAGATGGTTGGGCCAGATGACCCTTGTGGTCCCTCCCAACTTTATAATTCAAAGGACTCTATGGTTCGGTGGCCTGTTAGCTGTGATGGCAATGTTCTGCCTTCGCAGTCGCTGGAAGCCACAGGCGGGCAAAGTGCTCTTGTGCTCAGAACCTGCTTGCAAGTTCCCCAAGTCACCTGGTTGATCACTTTGAGAACAGGAAGCTGGACTTAGATGACCATTGACCTGATCCAGAAGCCTCTTCTTATGTTCTCCTCCCTTTTTCACAATTGCTGTACACTGGGTCGACATCTTCATTTAGCTATCCACCATGACCCCAATATCTCTTTCCACCAATTCATCTTCTTTGGTGATCACTCGTAGCCGAGTAAGATTGTCTTCCATACACACGGTTTTAACAGTGAGCCCGTAAGTGACTGTGGAGGCCAATTCTGGATCCACACGTCCTTCCACAGTGGGGACATAGGCTTCCAGGCGGAGTTGATCATGGTGAAGGTTTGCCAAACGTGCCTTCCTCTTGGCACGTTTCTCCCTTTAGTCCTGAGTTCAAGCGTCTTCAAAGTCCATGACACTTTTGGTAAAGGCTGTTCTCCAATTGGAGCGCTCACAGGCCAGCGTTTCCCAGTTGTCGGTGTTTATACTACACTCTATCTATCTATCTATCTATCTATCTATCTATCTATATTATACTTTTTAAGATTTGCCTTGAGAGAGTCTTTAAACCTCTTTTGTTAAATACCAGCATTACACTTTCCATTTTTAAGTTCATATTCCACTGCTGTATATGAAGTTCAGATTTTTTTTTTAAAAAAAATAATTTTTAAAAATATTTTTTGTTTTTAACCACATCAGCAAGCTGAGCCACCTCCCTGCTCGCCCCTAGCTCCAGATGATTCATAAACAAGTTTAAAAGCACCAGTCCCAATACAGACCTTTGGGCCACCAGACTTCTTACATCTCTCCTTCAAACAGCCAGGGACACAAAACAAGACCTCCAAAGCAGAATAAAGGGAAAGCTTCATTCTTTCTTGCTTGGAGAATGTGGAAGAAGTCAGGCAGAGAAACAAAATGCAGGCCTTCAAAAGATTGGGCTTTTTAAAGCATTCCTATCATTATTATTTTTTAAGCATCCAACAGGAATATTCAAAAAATCCCAGATGGGTTTGAGGTAAGTTGAAGGGTCTTGCATGATGCTAATTTAGAATCCCGAACTCAGACGAGCACAAGAAGAGATGAAAGTCTTGACATCTAGGCTGCCATTCAAGTCTCAGGATGTAAGTATTTTTAATTGTATTTACTCTATATACCTGCCCTAGCAGATGGTTTTGCGTGTGAGATCTTGTTGGATGGGCAGGGTGTTCCAAACTATAGGAAGCCAGCACAATTTACACTGGGGCAAATTAAGCTGGTGTGACTTACTCCTACTCCAAACTCCACCTGGGAGTGGGGCTACAGCCAGCAGAGCAAAGGGAAAACAAGCGTTCAAAATAGAGTTTGACTTTCGCCACCTTTCTTGGCCCTGCAACTTCTGCTTGCTTGCTAGGCGATGTGACCAAGCTAAATGGAATCTGGAATGGAAGCTAAGTCTCTCCCTGCTCTGTTCCATGCACATCACACCCCTGAAATGCCCCTTTTTGGAGACATACACTTGCCCAGTGTTATCTTTGGCTGAGTCAGGATGAGAGACTCAACCGGAGATCCTCCTGTTTCAAACTCCACACGGCAGATAATGGCTAGCTCCCCACAGCTCCCATCTTCCCAGACCACAAAGGCTGCAAAGCGGGGATGGCTGATGAAAGTGGCAGTCCAACAAAAGCCTTCGCCACGTTGCCACCTGCCAGCATGAGGCTTGCTTTGCACTGACATCTAGCATACCTGGGCTCAGGATCCGCCCATCCAGAGTTTTGCAAGGGTGATGGGGGGCGGCCAACAACTCTCACCCCCCCCCAAATATTGAGGAGGCCTAAAAGGGCTTGCCCCCAGGAACTGGCACCCCTGCCCCAATCCTACTTTTTGAGGGAAGAGAATATTTCTGGTACTCCAGAAAATCTGACATGCTGCATAGAAAGCATGTTCACACAACTCCCACCTCCCCTTAACCACACACCTTGTTTCTTGTAGCAAGTTATTTTCTGCACTGCACAGCTTATCAAGCACTCTTCTTTAGATGCCCTTGTCTTGTTTCAGATTCATTTCTCCAATGGATTTAAAAAAAAAAACTATCTTTGGTTTATGTTGTCATATCATAATGTCTCTCTCCCCCCCCCCCTTCTTTCTGGGCTCTCTTCCAGGCATCTCCAGTGAAATTGGTTTCTAACTTTTAATTAAAATAAACTTTTGTTTGGCCTGTAAATTTAAAGGCTTCTGGGTTCATTTTACTATGGCCTGGTGAGGCCGGCGAGGTAATTGTCAAGCGCCAGCTTGTATATTTATTTTATATCTCGCTTTTCTCCCAGTGCAGGACCCAAGGCGGCTCAGAACGTGAATCAAAACAGACACAACAATAAATAGAAATGCAGTACAGCTTATACTGATTTCCCCACTTCTCTCCAGCGTTGGAGTGTCCTGGCTAGGAAGCCCGTGTTTCTAAACGGCACCATTCGCAAGCCAATGGCACCCGCATACTACATTTCCTCCGTAACAGGCTTTGCATTTTACAGAAACCTGGCTTCAAGGTTAGCGCTGCCACACAACAGAGTGAAGCAGGCAGCCTTGGGAAGAGGAATTTAGGGTGATAAATATGGTAATTTTGGTTTCACATTTTCCCCAGCTTTGGTTCGGTTCTCCACATTTCTGCATCACTTTAGGGATCCTCCCCCCGCCCCGCAAAAAAAGACATAATGAAAATTCACCAGCATTTTAGTGTGATTTTCCCCAGTGTACACATTTTTCCAAAGCAACTTCCCTGCTATAATACATTTTTTTTTTGCATGTTGATTTCACTCATTTGTACATGTATATGCACACTTGACCTTAGTACAGTGGTACCTCAGGTTAAGTACTTAATTCATTCCGGAGGTCCGTTCTTAACCTGAAACTGTTCTTAATCTGAAGCACCACTTTAGCTAATGGGGCCGCCTGCTGCTGCCGCGCTGCCAAAGCACGATTTCTGTTCTCATCCTGAAGCAAAGTTCTTAACCTGAAGCACTATTTCTGGGTTAGCGGAGTCTGTAACCTGAAGCATATGTAACCTGAGGTACCACTGTACATATATGTCTGTTTCTGTACACATTACTTGGCTGGAGAACCCCAGAGTCGGCCACGACTGGATCTAATGGTCAGGGGTCCCTTTGCCTTTAAGCATGGAAGTGAATTCAGCAAGTTTGCCGTTAAATGCAAACTGTATCAAATTGCTTGGGGGACCAACACGTGTTGAGATTCCTGCATTGCAGAGGGTTGGACTAGATGACCCTCGGAACTCCACAATTCTATGATTCTCCCCCATCCCTAGATGAAGGCAGGAACGGTTATCTGGATGCTATAATTCAGATTTTTGGGTGTTGGTGTTAGTGGGCCTTTCCTTTGCTCCATTTCAGACATCAAAATGTCTTTGGCCAATATACATCTTTGTGTGCTGGTTGTTGCCACCGGTCCTGGGCTTACAACCAGGCTGGGACATCTTGGTAGGAGAGCTGTAGCAGGAGATCCTTCAAGAGTTCTCCAGAGTTCTGTAGGCTTTGTTTGTTGGCAGCAGGGAAGGGGGAGAGAGTTAATTCCGCTTGCATTTAAAGCTGACCCATCCTAACCATCACTTTCCAAAGCAACAGGCAAATCAATAGTTGTCTTTCAAAATACTGTATTAAAGGTAAAGGGACCCCTGACCATTAGGTCCAGTCGTGACTGACTCTGGGGTTGTGGCGCTCATCTCGCTTTATTGGCCAAGGGAGCTGGCGTACAGCTTCCGGGTCATATGGCCAGCATGACTAAGCCGCTTCTGGTGAACCAGAGCAGCGAATGGAAACGCCGTTTATCTTCCCGCTGGAGCGGTACCTATTTATCTACTTGCACTTCGTGCTTTCGAACTGCTAGGTTGGCAGGAGCAGGGACCGAGCAATGGCAGCTCACCCCGTCGTGGGGATTCGAACTGCCAACCTTCTGATCAGCATGTCCTAGGCTCTGTGGTTTAACCCACATCACCACCGATGTCCCTTAAAAATATTAGGGTTGCCATATTTCCAAAAGTAAAATTCCTGATACCCGCAAAGTTGTTGAGCTCTTTTTGAGGAAAACCCCAAAACGTTTGAGCTTTTTTGGGGGAAAACCTCCTCCAGAAATATTGATTTTAAGCTTTTGGAGCTGTTTCCACTGCTTTTTCCATCGCATTGCCATACATCTGGGTTTTCCCTGAATTTATTTTGCCACTTCTGCAAAATTCCCCCCCGATGCCATTTTTACACCTGAAAACTAGGAGGTGTCAGGAATACACTTCCCTGACTTCTGCAATGCGGTTCTTCAACCAACTACAAAAAAGCATAAACTTATGCATGAGCACATGCAAACTTACCGGTATGTGTAAATGTGAAGAACTGAGGATTGGAAAAATTGAGAAGTGCCATGCTAGATACAATCTGTGTCTGTTACAATACACTGTCTATTTAATAATGTAAACAAGCTGGTGAATTTACCGTGTGAGGTGGCCAAAAACCTGAGGGGTGATTTGACTGATAAGCTGGTGTGTTTCATCAGTGAAAGTTTTGTACACCCTTAGCTGATAGCACCACAAATTAATTGGAAGGCAACTTGTAAAATTGCAATTAAAACGTTCACTGATGGGACTTCCGGGTTAGCGCCATCGGCAATGGCGGAGTTTCTCTGACCGAGAGGAACCCGCTCCGTGAAAATCGGGTCTTGCCGCTGCGGCGAAGGCGGAGACCCTCTAAAAATCCCAGGCAGAGGAAGCCTGGAAACGTGGGATTCGGCTGACACCAGGAGCGCTCCCCTACTAGCAGGGAAACCCTTTTTCGGGGATCCGAAGCGACGTGGGGTGAGTGGCACGGTGTTTTGAATCAACCGCTACTTTTACGGAGTGAAGCCGCACAGCCGTTGCCGGAGAGCGCTGACTTTTTCCTGTGGACAATTGGACTCTAAACAAGTACCCGTGAGTAGAACGGAAAATTGGATTAAGAAACATTTTAATTTGGCACTGAAGCGGGAAGGCTCTAAACAGGAAGTCCGCCTCCCATTTTTTGTAAATAGATTGAAGCAAAAATTTTGCAAGCTAAAGTCTGGAAAGTCGTATATAAAGGTCTAAATTTCCTTCAGTTATTACCATCAAAACCCCTCTTGGAAGCAGGAGAAAAGGGGGGGAATTTTTGACTGTTTAAGCCTGCAGGAGAGAGAGTAAAGAAAGATAAATTTCCACCGTCTCAAACCTGGGAACGGGGTGTCAGAGATAGAAATTTATGGGGAAGTTCATCGACTGTGAATGGAACGTCTTTTGACAGATAGTAAAAAAAAAAGAAACAAATTGACTCCAATGTTGCTTCTTGCATTCAAAAGAAACAAAGTATTTGAAAAATGAAAGTAATTTTCTTTTGTTGGTCCTGCTTTCAAAAGATGGATACAAATAGAAATTGTCTCCTCTAGAGGGAGCTTGTTAATTTGTTGCCGGAGTCGATCTGGGGATTTCACAGCTGTAAGATTAGGATCGTGAGACCAGACTTTGACCTTGAATAAAAATGTGTTTACAAGAAGTCTTGGTGCTTGCTTTTTGCAAGACAAGTGCTTTGCTGGAGCAGATGCATGAGAAGATGGATCTGATGACTGTTGCAGTTAAAAACTTTGGACAAACGGCGAATACCCATATAGAAATCATTCAGGAACCAGCCCAGGAACTTGTTTTGACAGGGCAAGCGCAAGTGCAGAAGATAATGGAGGAGGTTGCTGTTGAACCTCAAGTAACACAAATGGGGAGATCCGAGGCCTTGCAGGAGCATAAGCCGCTGTTCTTGAAGTTCGAATCTGGAGTGGACCAGGGGGGTCTGGAGTTGTGAGGGCTCTTAATTTTGGAAGGACTTTGAAACCTGCTTTTAAATACTTTCTGGATTACAGTGTTGACTGTGGGGAATGGGACTGTGGGGAATGGGCTGATCTGTTGAGGAGAGATGGAGATATTTCTGGATTGGAGTCCCCCCGAGAGCTACCCCCCAAGGAGAAAGGAAAGAAATTAAGAAAAAGATCAACAAAAGACAAAGTAAAGTGCAGGTATAAACAAGAAGAAGATCTGCAGAAGGGACATGGAAAAGACTTAAGAGCCTCGGACATAAGATCACCAGGTTGATGGACTAGATGGAATGGACAAGAAGGACTGACAAAACCCGAGACCAGGAAGAAGAGACGTTGGATGAAGATTGGAAGAAAGTTTTTTTAAAAATTATTTTGAGAATTAGTGTAAAATTAATGAGTATTAGGAAAAATGTTGGAATGAAACTATTTGGCTTTAGTAGAAATGATATAAGGAGTTAGGTACATTAAGTTTTAAGGTCTTTTTTTATGGCAAGATAAGGTTAAATAAATTAAGGTAAATTGAATGACAGAATATAGTGAAAGATGGATTTGTTGAGTTAATTAAAAGGTTAGATCGTTAAGATAAATTATATAACAAAAAATTGAGAAAGATGGAAAGAATTTGCTGAAACAATTAATTAAATTAGAATACGAAAAGGGAGGTGTGAGGAGGTCGATGAAACAAGTAAATGAAAGATAAAGATATGGAACATTGGATGTGTGTTTTAATGTTATTGTGTGTTTTTTTGCTGTATTGTTGTATTGTTTTTTATGCTTTTCTCTTTATGTATTGTAATGTATGTTTTGTTAAATTTTTTGTTGTTTTCTTTTTCTCTTTTTTCTGTAATTCTTAAACTCTTAATAAATACCTTTTTTTTAAAAAAAATAAAACTTTCACTGATGAAACACACCAGCTTATCAGTCAAATCACCCCTCATTGACATTTACACAGAGGGAGCTTGCCAAACTTTAAATGGCGTTAAATTTAGCTCAGGTTTTTGGCCACTTCACACGGTAAATTCACCAGCTTGTCTACATTATTAAATAGACAGTGTATTGTAACAGACACAGATTGTATATAGCATGTCACTTTCAAGCAAGAAACTGTGTGGGTCTTAAGGTGGCCAGCATTGGGGCAGACTTGAGGGCTGGGCAGGGGAGGTTGCTGGGGTCTGTAGAGATCATCTTTCTCTCTCCGGGCTTTCTGTCCAGCTGAATGGGGATCTAGAGTGTTTGTTCCTGCCATTGGGTAATTGGGACAGATTAGGGATTCTGGTTTACTGTCCGCCTCACTACCCATCAGTCTCCCTGTCTGAGCTAGCAGACCTGGTATTGATTGTGGTCTTGAGAGCTCTCAGAAGCTGGTTCTGGGAGACTTCAATTTCCATGCCAAGGTGATTGGTTCTAGGGCATCCCAGGGCTTCATGGCTGCCATGACAACCATGGGGCTGCCCCAACATGTCATCAGCCCATTGTCCCACTCTGGATCTTCTCTTTTCGACTGTGTGGGAAGACCCTGCACTTGTCATCTGAGGCCCTTCTCTACGTTCCCCCTCTCTGAGAGGTCTGGAGGGTGACAACACGAGAACAGGCCTTTTCTGTGGTGGCTCCCTATCTCTGAAATGCTCTCCCTAGAGAGGCTCGCCTAGCACAATCATTACACATCTTTAAGCACCAGGTAAAAACATTCCTCTTTACCCAGGCCTTCAACCGTTAAGTAATTTATGACCTGTTAAATGTAGTGGAGAACTGTTATTATGATTATTATATTAAGGTGTGTATTATTAAGCTATGTGTTATGTTTTTATTATTAATTATGCTCTCTGAATTATATTTTTAATGTTGTACTCTGCCCTGCGATCTTTGGATAAAGGGTGGTATACTATTTGAAATAATAATAATAATAATAATAATGTGAAATTATGACTCGACACCATCATGTTCATTCTAGTAATACAAACGCCAATCACAGGCTAAACTGAAGGTCACCTGAGATACAGTGCTACTCCGGAATACGTCCTGTTGCACCCAGTGGGTAATATTTCTGATTAGACATATATAAGGTTGCTTTGTTGCTCAACTTTAACCCAGTTTTGTCCCACTCAAATCAGCACTCTAATATGGAATGAGTTTGGCAACACACAGCAGCTGATGTTTATAACACTATATAGATCCTCAGTGCTATATTTAGTGTCCGAATCATCCAAATGCTGACAAATTTGTAGGCTATATAAAATGGGAAAGACTTTCCTTTTCTTAAAATGCTCCATTCAGCACATTATCTTCACTAGGCAGCCTTTGTGCCTTAACTTATTGATTTATTACTGACTCAACCCTAAAGTGTATATTACTGCAATGGTGTAGGAAATGCTTCGCCTTGTTATTTTCACATACTGCAGTATACATGTGTTAAGGAAACGTGGTTGACGTAATTTATACTGCTCCTTCCAAAAACCTCCCACTGTTTTAGAATGGTTTCGTTAGAGGTTGGGGTGGAATTCCATTTCGCTTCCCACATTACTTGGGTAGTATGGGAGCTGCTGCTGTAAAATTCTTTCCCATTCTGCCCGGGTAGCATGAGAAGTCCTAGGCAAGGCACACTGTGGCTCCTTTCCATGGCAGTGTTGACCAAACCAAAGTGTTAGGAGGAGCTCCAAAACAGAGATAAGAAGAACAAAGACAGCTCTAGTCCAGTACCCTGTTTCAAACTATGGCTGGGCAGATGGGTAAAACCTATTTGGTGTTTCACAACTTTCTGACTAGTTGCAGGACGTTAGCCAGACCTAGCAGAGCAAACGCAGAATCCACGGAAGCAATTGGCGACTTGGCTGTAGACAGGATAGACGAAGCAGGAACCAGGAACTTGTAGTTAGGTGTTTATTATATACAGTGGACTATTTACAGGAACAGAACACGGATCTTTTGCTAGCTCTCTCTGACACAACTCACAACTCCTACACTCACTGACACACTGAACCACTGAACACTGAAATACTGAACTAACACATTCCAGTTAGTAGGCCATTAGTTATCACTTGTATTTAGTGGATGAAACTTTTTGATCTGGATGTTCCCAATACCTGTCATGAATAGTTGTCAGAGATATACCCCATATCCACAAATGGTTTCCTCCTAAATGACTTGGATCATTACATTATCCAGGCAGAGTTCGCATTCCATCCAGGGCTAGCCCTACCATTAGACTGAGACAAACACCTCAGGCGGCAGATAACGGTGGTGGTGCTATTCTCCTATATTGTTTCAAAGCCTTTCCTGGGCCCCTCCTGGGCCTACTATCTCAGGTGTGGCAGGAGGACACCACACCGCCACCAGTTTTGAAGCCAGATTTAACTGCAAGTTCTGTTGGCTTCTGTTCATGGAACAGGGAGGGTGTCTTTTGCCTCAGGCGGCCATTTTGTATTGGGCAGGCCCTGATTCCAACCACAAGCATGATGAGATGTAGGAGCCATAGACACTAATGAGATGCAGGTGACTGCTCTATGAAAAATAAAAAATTTATCTGCCACAGTTGGGGGCACTTAGTTTTATCTACTGCTACCTTCCCCCCTGCAGCTCTGCCAGTTAAGGAGCTACTACTAAATAGCTATTCCATCTACAAGGCTCCTTCTCTGATCCCCCACCCCTGGAAAAAGCTCTAATTACAACAACGTGTTGGAACTGAGCGATCAAAGTGTTCAAGTCCACTAATCACCATTTGACATGTTGTCTTTTATCTCTTCAAGATCACTTTCATCTGTTCATTAGAATCTTTTGACTCTGAAATCTCCGAGGGTCCTGCTGATGTCCTTTCCCCCACCGGTTCAAAGTACAGTATGTCGCACCAGAACAGATGGGACTCATTAGCTGTAGCCCACTGTAAAGCGAAGGCGGGGGGGGGGGGAGAGACCCTCAGGGACCCCTTACCTCCAGAGCTCCTACAGGCTTTGCGGCTGTCTGTTTGGTACGCCACCATCCCTTTTGACCAACATTATCGCAAACAGTTTTGTTTGCAGAAGTGGTTCCTCTGATCTCAGCTAATGGTGTGCCCACAGCCATGCCAGTAATTAGCTGGCTGTTGTCATGGAGACGACAACAGCTCTGTGGTGTCTTGGGATTCCGGTCTTCAAGTACACCGCAGACCCCCAAGATGTGCTGATCTTGAATTTCAGAGGAAGGCTTGTAAGCATTCTGGGGCAAACGTAGCAGCAAAGATCTATGCTTGTAAGTGGCACCCGGAATGCTTGGATAGCTCAGTTGGTTAGAGTGTGGTGCTGATAACACCAAGGTTGCAGGTTCGATAGCTGTGTATTCCTGAATTGCAGGGTGTTGGTGGACTTGATGATCCTCAGGAGCCCTTCCAACTCTACAATTCTGCGATTTTATGCTTTTGTATCTTCTCTACCGATGGATCTTAGTGGCATTGTTTCAACCTATGAATGCCTGCTGAGAATCTTCCTATGCTGCCAGACTTATGAAAACAATTAAGAAAACATGTTTCCATAATAGTGGATGGTCTCTGATTTTAAATTTTTATGTGAGTTGGGGTTTTTTTATGATATAGCGATATATAAATATTTTAAAGAAAGAAAGAAAGAAAGAAAGAAAGAAAGAGAGAGAGAAAGAAAGAAAGAAAGAAAGAAAGAAAGAAAGAAAGAAAGAAAGAAAGAAAGGCAGGCAGGCTATATGCAACCTTCCTATTCAGAGGCAAGAGGCTAGTGAATATCAGTTGCTGGAAGCAAGGGCAGGAAAGGGCGATGGCCTTCATTTCCTGCTTTGGGGCTTCTCTGTGTCATCTTCTCTGGCCACAATCCTTACCCAACCTCAAAGAAAGATACAGATAGGGAATAGGCGCCTCTCCTGGACAGGGATAGCCTAATTTCTGTTGTCTATGCTCTGGTAACCTTCAGGTTAGATTACTGCAAGGCATTATACACGGGACTGCCTTTGAAAATAGTTTGGAAACTGCAGCTAGAAGACCTGAGGACATCCCACTGGTCCTGGCCTGGCTGCAGTGGCTACCAATTAGATTCTGGGTCCAATTCAACGTGCTGGTCTTGACCTATAAAGCCTTATGTAGCTTGGGGCCCCAGTATCTCTGTGTATCTCTTCATCTGAACCATCTCGGACCCTTGCAATTGTCATCTGAGGCCTTTCTTTGTGTGCCCCTTCCATGGGAGGTCCACGGTGTGGCAACACAAGAACAGGTTTTTTCTCTGATGGCTCCCTGCCTCTGTAATGCTCTCCATCTCAAGTTCATTTGTGCCCTCTGTAATGCCTCATTCAGGTATAAGGTAAAGGGACCCCTGACCATTAGGTCCAGTCGTGGCCGACTCTAGGGTTGCAGCGCTCATCTCGCTTTATTGGCTGAGGGAGCCAGCGTACAGCTTCCGGGTCATGTGGCCAGCATGACTAAGCCGCTTCTGGCGAACCAGAGCAGCGCACAGAAATGCCGTATACCTACCCGCCGGAATGGTACCTATTTATCTACTTGCACTTTCGAACTGCTAGGCTGGCATGAGCAGGGACCGAGCAACGGGAGCTCACCCCGTCGCAGGGATTCAAACTGCAGACCTTCTGATCTGCAAGTCCTAGGCTCTGTGGTTTAACCCACAGCGCCACCTGCATCCCCATTCAGGTATAAACCTGCATTCAGGTATAAACCTGCATCCTAATATTATTCTGAAGTGCCTTTAACTCTATCCCTTCGCATCCCTGGCTGTCCCTAGTGGCAATGGGGGGACAAACATCCTAACGCCAGGATCTCCCTCCTGACTGTTCTATTCCCTTTCTTAAAAACGCGTTCTACCAAAACCAACAGGGCATATCCCCCTAGGAAATAAGAATTTGGAGTGGAACGTTAGCTGCAGGAGCCAAGTATTTATCAAATATTTTCCCCAGTAACATGAAAATCTTTGGGGATCCTTCAAACTAACGAGGAGTAATTTCCCTCCTTCAAGTATCTGACTGTTAAATCAAAACCCAAATTTTGTTCACAAGCTAATGTTCTGCTTGTAGTCGTATCATCTGTTTGCGCAATCCAATTTCACTGCTGAAATACAGTTGAGAATTTAAAGTGATGCTCTGCTCCATCTCCTGACTCTGGGATTCCTTGTTCAGGCAATAGCCTATTATGGTATGTGGCGGTTTGGGATGTTTCTTCTTCTTCTTCCTTTTCCCAAAGTCTTCTTCTAATGTAAATAGCAATTTTGGCTCAAGCCAATCAAACGGGAATTCAGGGCAAATGATACCTGCACAGCGAGCCAGGTGGGAGAAATTTTAGTACACAAGAGCAATGTATCAGGGATAATGAAAGAAATTTTGCTGACAGTTTCACCGAATACAGCAAAGATGCATCCAAACAAAAGGAAATCCAGAGAATTATGAAGGGGATGAGATATTGATTTGGGGGAACAGAGTAAATATATACCGTACATATAATAGTGGTATGCTGGATGTATTTGAGAGACAGGGTTAAAGTGGTACCTCAGGTTACAAACGCCTCGGGTTACAAATACTTCGGATTACAGACTCCGCTAACCCGGGAGTGTGGAAAATTCCACTCCTCCCGTGCTGCAGATGTGTGGGATTGTTACATGTCACATGTCTGTTTACATTCCAGCACTGATTATTGGGTCTTGTGAGCGGAAAGGGAGATACGCTGTTTCCGCTCTGTATAGCTATTGCTTTTTCAGTTCTCTCTCTGAGGAAGAAAAACAGAGAGAGAAGCCATGTTTTTCTTTGTTCTGTTACGTTTTGCAATAAATTAGGCTTAGATGTTACTCTTCAGGGCTAAGCCTCTGTTTGGACTCTGCTAGTTGTGCACTCATGTCCTTGGAACTGGGTCACATCAGCGTGACAGGAGTACCTCAGGTTAAGAACTTTACCTCAGGATGAGAATAGAAATCGCATGCCGGCAGAGGGAGGCCCCATTAGCTAAAGTGGTACCTCAGGTTAAGAACGGTTTCAGGTAAGAATGGACCTCCAGAATGAATTAAGTTCGTAACCAGAGGTACCATTGTACTTGCTTTTTCTGGCAGTGCAGTGCATTGAGCAATGGAAACACCAGGCCTGCTATTCTCCGAGAGTATGAAAGCAAACAATTTGCTGCTTCTTATACTTGGACTAATTGCCTAATTATATCCAGATGCTATCAATTTTTTCTGTCTCTCTTAAAGTCTCTTGTATCCTTCCTTTTGGCTTACTCATCCCCCTCTGAAACTAGGGTCACATTGACACAACGCATTTAAAGTGCTATGATGGGTAAAGGTAAAGGTAAAGGATCCCTGGGCGGTTAAGTCCAGTCAAAGGCGACTAGGGGGTTTGCAGCACTCATCTCGCTTTCAGGCCAAGGGAGCCGGTGTTTGTCCACAGACAGCTTTCCAGCTCATGTGGCCAGCATGACTAAACCGCTTCTGGTGCAACGGAACACCGTGACAAGTGCCAGAGCGTGCAGAAACGCCGTTTACCTTCCCACCACAGTGGTACCTATTTATCTACTTGCACTGACATGCTTTCAAACTGCTAGGTTGGCAGGAGCTGGGACCAAGCAACAGGAGCTCACTCCATCGCAGGGATTCGAACCGCCGACCTTCCGATCGGCAAGCCCAAGAGGCTCAGTGGTGTAGATCACAGCACCACCCGCATCCTGCTAGGATACCATACCCCCCAAGTGCCCCTATTTCTCACGGACAGTCCTGGAACTATGAAAGCCATCCCAACTTTTGATTTGATTCCAGAATGTCCCTATTTCCCCTGCCACTGCTGCCGAGCTCGGGGAGGAGAATGAGCTGGCGCTCATCCCAAGAGATGGCTGCGGCGGGGGCTGTGAGGGAGCCTCCCATGACTTCTCCATGACTTCCGCTGCCAGCCGCCAGTGTGGTGTAGTGGTTAAGAGCGGTGGACTCGTAATCTGGTGAACCGGGTTCGGTCCCCGCTCCTCCACATGCAGCTGCTGGGTGACCTTGGGCTAGTCACACTTCTCTGAAGTCTCTCAGCCCCACTCACCTCACAGAGTGTTTGCTGTGGGGGTGGAAGGGAAAGGAGAATGTTAGCCGCTTTGAGACTCCTTCGGGTAGTGATAAAGCGGGATATCAAATCCAAACTCCTCCTCCTCTTCTTCTTCTTCTTCTTCAGCAGCTCGTAGTGGCTTCTGGAGAGTGGGCGAGGAGGAAGAGAGGCTGCCGTCGCTGGGGCCCAGCCCCACGTGATGCGCCAGCTCTGAGAGACAGGCAGAGGGCAGGGCTGCCCTGGGCAGGAAGAAAGGGGAAACGGATTGCAAGGAGTGTTGATTTTATTTATCTTTTAATGCTCCGTGCATCTGCATCTAGTCTTTCCCCTTTCTAAAATTTATTTGTTGGCCAGTGTTTTTCTTTTTGTAAATCTACCAAAGAATAAAATTAAATCAGGGTTTTCTTAAGGGGTTTTCTTAGGAAGGTGGCGGGATGTCAGTGCTATATCTTGTTGGTTTAGTGATTGTGGCATTCATGCTTCTGGGGGCGGGGACACACACAAAATGGGGGTCAATTGGAGGGAAGTGATATATGTCTCTATTTTCATCTGAGGAATGTTGGAGGGTATTGTAAACTATCACAACATCCCTTAAAGAATTCTGGGAGATGTAGTTTGAGTTAAGGGTGGCGCTGTGGGTTAAACCACAGAGCCTAGGACTTGCTGATCAGAAGGACGGCGGTTTGAATCCCCGCGACAGGGTGAGCTCCCGTTGCTCGGTCCCTGCTCCTGCCAACCTATCAGTTCAAATGCACGTCAAAGTGCAAGTAGGTAAATAGGTACCGCTTCGGCGGGAAGGTAAACGGCATTTCTGTGCGCTGCTCTGGTTTGCCAGAAGCGGCTTAGTCATGCTGGCCACATGACCCGGAAGCTGTTCACCGGCTCCCTCGGCCAGTAAAGCGAGATGAGCGCCGAAACCCCAGTGTTGTCTGCGACTGGACCTAACGGTCAGGGGTCCCTTTACCTTTACCTATTCCTGACAGAGATACAAATTCTCAGAGTGGCATAAGAGCCACTCCCCCTTTCACATGAAACTCTGGAACTCAAGGCAGCATACATAGAGTTTCGGGATGGCCTCCCATCCAGGCCCTGACCAGATCCATGCCTGCTTAGCTTCAGCAAGATGGCTACATCCTGTGCACTCAAGCCACCTTTTCACTTAGCAAACTTTTCACTTTTGCTCCTCCCCATCTCTTCCCCTCACCCAACACCTACTGTTCATGCATTTGTTTCAGTCAGAACCTTTGTCTTTTCTTCAAAGTGCTCAGAAATGTGACCTAGTTCACAATCAAGCAGTGCAACATTTGTATTTTCATTAAAATAGCTGCATTTTTAGATTTTTTTTGGGGGGGGGAATATTGGCAAAACGAAACAAAGGACAAGTGGGAAATGAATTCCTTGGAAACACAGTGTGATTCATATTTCTTTTACCTGAAGGTATATCTGTTTTCTGAAATAAGTTTTTCTAATTATGTGATTGCTTGAAGATACAGAAATGTTAAAACAAAACCCTCAGTTTAATTAGAGCAGCCTCACTGAAATTCAGTTTGTGTCTAAAAAAATTTCCCAGCTGTTTCTGAAATGCCTGGCATGAGTTTTTGAAGGTGTGTTGTTGTTGTTGTTTTGCCACGCAAGTAGACTTTTGTGATCATGCGAAATAGGGCTCTTTTACACATTTCATTTGTTGTTCTAGGCAAAGCAAATGAGATTTCTCTTTTAATTTCATCTCAGCGCCTTTTAATTAAAAGTCTCAAGATTTGTTTTCTCTTTGAAAAAATTCTGATACAGAAGAGTTCTGGTAAATCATTCAATGGAGCTTGAAATTTTTCCAAGCAATGAATAAATTTGTAAATGCTGATGGCTCCAGAATGCTAAATATATAGCTGGTATATATTTAAAGTTGAAAGCTGGGTGAGGGGAACATTTTAAATGTTTCTCGGGGGAATATTAGTAAAAAGTACCAATTAATTCTGGTGATTAGTTTTCTTTTCCTCTGATACCATATTTTCCTTCATTAATGCCTCCTTTTCATTCTTATAGGAAGGTTATTAAAAGCTTCCTGAAGAAGCAGTCTCCTGTTTTTTTGTTGTTGAGCCATTTCCTGATCAGCTGGTGAAGCAAGCGGGAGTAGGGAGATTGTCTGGAGGGATGTAAGTCTCCCCTTCCCATGATCTCTTCCCTGGCCGGCAGTGCCCAGCTGGTCGGGATTGCTAGCATCCATCTGCCTCGGGATGCAACGGTGGAGTGTGCCTTTGGGGCTAAAGTCAAACTGTTGGAAAGTTACAGCGCCTGCTGTGGCTGTAGAGACCGATAGGGGAGAGACATGTTTTGTTGCAGCTGGGGAAGATGAAGGCGTCCGGTTGTGCTGCTGCAGATTCACCATGACATTTGTTCTTTCTGCACTCCTTCCAGAGGTCATTCCTTCCCTGGTCATTGCTGTGGCTACATGACCTGACTGTCTGTCTCCAGAGACTGCCGTCGTCTGCAAGCGATTCCCACACAGTGGGGTTAATGTTGCCAGCCTTCGTGCCACATTTGCAGATGTCTTTGCAACACAGATTTGGTCTAGCTTCCCCTAGAGCAAACCATGGAAGATTCTGCCATTCTGTGGACATGACTAAGCCAGCATAGATGTCGCTGAGACAGAAGTGTGAATAAGCTGGGAATGGGGGCTTGTGAGAGCGCATCTTGGCTGGAAACTCAGTCCTGCCATGTGATGCGTGGAAGGCGTTGAGCATCGCTCCTGGCGGGTGAAATGGGGAGAACCAAACTTAAAACTGGAAAAATGAGAAACGGAGAGAAACTGAAATTGACAGATTCACCCACCCTACTTCCACCATCTTTGGTTGTGGCCCCACCTGCGCAGCACCCAGAAGGCTATTTGTGGGGAAATGTGGTCCTCTGCATGAAAAAGATTTCCCACCTTTGCTTCTTTCCAAAATGGTTTCACCATTTCCTTTTTAACTCTGCATTTGTGATCAAGACATAATTGTGGGCTCCTGTTTTGTAATGTCTGCCTTATCAGTTCACATTTGTAAGGCTTAGGGAAGCAGTCTCGGTCATTGACTATGTCTTCGAACAACCCCTGCTAAAATTGCCTCCTGGCCTGATGCCACCCGCCATGATTACATTAAATGTATTACCATAAAACCTCAGAGTTATAGAACACTTTGAGAAGAGAGGGAGTGTTTGTAACAGACTTCAGAATGCTCATGGCCATTGACTCATTAAATGTTCTTAACTCATTAACCATCTTGGGGTTTGCCCCCCCTCTTTTTAATTGATTGAGAAGCCAATTAAAATAAACATTGTGCTATCTCATTAGGAGTGTTAGTCCGGGCATTTTGAAATGTTTGCTACAGTTTCTCTCAACCGTAGGTAAGCTGGGTGCCATAACATTGTCTGGTACCTTGAGCCTTGCAGCGGCAAGAGCAGAAATTGACTCTGGCTGTGAAGCTGTGGTGCATTTCACTGTTGGAGTGTTGTGGGTATCAAGGAGTTAAACACTCTGTGCTCATTGGGAATGCTGACTCAACAGCATGTGATGACTAAGCATCATAAGACATGGGGCGTTGCCTAATTGATCCATTGCCATGGATCAAGGCATGGTTGACTTTAGGTGGCAGGGGTGTGAAGAGATGACGGCTTCTCCCCAGAATGTAATTCCACCTGTAGGCTGTGTATCCTGAATGTAAGAAGACAGCTTAACAATGCTGCAAGACTGTAACTGAATAAAGCCTTACTGAAAATCCAGCTTGAGTCCTGAATGCTTCCTGTGGGGCTCTCGTACTTCGCAACCTCCATGTCTCTCTGGAGGGGTGGTAAGATCTCCAGCAAGATTACAGTGGTTCCACCTGAGCCTTCTATTGTTGACAACCCCACTCAGATGGGAGGCATATCTGTCCCAAGAGAGAATGGAAGAGTGCTCCATTGGGGGTGAAGTCAAACCATTAGAAAGACCAATATGGGAGAGACATGTTTAGTTGCAGCTGGGGCAGATGAAGGCGTCCATTTGTGCTGCTACAGGTGCACCATGGTGTTTCTTCTCTCAGTGGTCATTTCTCCTCTGGTGACTGCTGTAGATACATGACCTGACTGTTTGCATCCAAGCACTGTGGTCATCTGCAAGGGATTCCCTTGGGTTAATGGGTTAATGTTGCCAGCCTTCATGTCACGTCTTCATAACACAGAGTTGATCTACCAAGCCTGGTCCCTGAAGCCAGCTCTCCACAAAGCACATCCTTGGGAATCCTGCCAACTTCCATTCTGTACAAACACAAACCCCCGTGTTGCAAAATGTGACAATTACAAAAATGCAAACGCAACATGCAGTATGATGTCATTCAAAATATACGAATAAGCCACTTCAAAATAATATATATATCATACACCACACCTCACAAAATATACAAGTAACTGTAAGTTGTTATATGCATCAGAGTCAAACAAAGGTTCAAACAACCAATGAATAGCGAGGAACGCCAAACCGTCTCTCAAAGGAAGACATCTCACAAAAGTCTCAAAGGAATGTAGCATCTACATTATCCAGTGAGCACTGATCCACTAGTATTATCTTCACTAGTATGAAGATTTCATTGATAATTATTTGCTGATGAAGACTTTATTCCCAAACAATTAAACTATTCCGGATGCACTGTCCTTTTGAGACTTTAGAGAGACGTCTTCCTTTGAGACTTTTGTGAGACGTCTTCCTTTGAGAGACGGTTTGGTGTTCCTCGCTATTCATTGGTTGTAACCACTGGTCCTGTTAGCTAGGGATGATGGGAATTGTAGTCCCAAACATCTGGAGGGCCGGAGTTTGCCTATGCCTGCTCTACAGTGCTTTCAGGTGCTTCTGTCCTCTACACAGGAATGTGCTCCATGTCTTCTTTATCACGGACTACAAGGAGATCCTTCTGCTAAGACCTCCTTGTCTGTACAGGGGTCCATTTACCATGTATTGTCCTAACCACACCCATACCTTGAACTGGTCTTGAAGAGTTGCAGCCAAGAGCCCTTGTGCCATGTGCAACGACTCCCATTTTTACTGACCCCAGAAAACCAATTCACGCAGCTCCAAGCATCAAGCATTGGGTTACTTTCAAGTGGTTATTGATTACAGCATGGGTCTTGTCTTGAAATCTGTTCCCTTTACAGACGCTACAGACACTTTCAAGTTAAATGGGCCCATCTGCCCCTTCCTGGGAAGCCACAGCTTGTTGCAGCACCTCTCCTCCTGATGTCTTCATATTTCTTCCATTGCCGGGGAGAACAGCTGCACTATCACCCTCCAGGTGATAGTGTAGGTTGTGTTCAACCACGTTTCCATGGTTCCATGCTACTACAGTCTTTTATTTTTATTTTTTTACAGAATCAAGCATTGCTATTTATAGTGGCATATTAATTACTAAGCAAAGGAGAAGCTGACAAGAGAGAGCTTTTTTACAAAGCTAAATGCATCCCCCACATACTGTAAAAATAATCTCCCCTTGGCTATATGCAGTTCAGAAGTAAAGATGGCAATTCCACTCCTACTACAGCAAGGGTTTTAGAAAGAAGACTCTCAGACCTCATTACAGGAAACCTCTTGAGAAAACAAATTGCTTCAGCCTTCCCAAACATAATCCTGCTGCCCTTCTAGGGATGGAGTTACCATCTATGTTGCTGTCCACTTTAGTCCGCAAATTCTTCTTTTACAAAAAATAATATTAAAATCTTCATGAATCTGCCACAAATGCATTCTTTTTGCCATATTTTCTTTACGCATTTCTAAACATAAAAATTACACATTTTGATACGTTTTGCAGCTTTATGAGAAGTGCATAGTTCAATGTTGTTGTTGTTGTTGTTTAGTTGTGTCCGACTCTTCATGACTCCATGGACCAGAGCACGCCAGGCACTCCTGTCTTCCACTGCCTCCCGCTGTTTGGTCAAACTCATGCTGGTAGCTTCGAGAACACTGTCCAACCATCTCGTCCTCTGTCGTCCCCTTCTCCTTGTGCCCTCCATCTTTCCCAACATCAGGGTCTTTTCCATGAAGTCTTCTCTTCTCATGAGGTGGCCAAAGTACTGGAGCCTCAGCTTCACGATCTATCCTTCCAGTGAGTACTCAGGGCTGATAAGAATGGATAGGTTTGATCTCCTTGCAGTCCATGGGACTTTCAAAAGTCTCCTCCAGCACCATAATTCAAAAGCATCCATTCTTCGGCGATCAGCCTTCTTTATGGTCCAGCTCTCACTTCCATACATCACTACTGGGAAAACCATAGCTTTAACTATGGATAGGTACATTCCAATCTGCATCTAGGAGGTGCAGATCATGTCAGTTCATACTGGAATTTGCAAAGACATAATTCTGCAAGCATCCCTGCTTCCCAGCCAGCTCCCATAAGTTATCCATGTTTACAATTCACAGCAGCGGGAAGTCTAATGGTAAGTAGGAAAGAAGACTTCCGTAGCTTCCATTTTCACAAGGCTTGTTCTTACTCAGCACCATGGACAGTTCTTGGTTCTGCTCTGTCTTATAGCTACAAGAAGAATCATAGAACCATAGAATTGTAGACTTGGAAGGGACTCCAGCGGCCATCTAGTCCAAACCCCTGCAATGCATGGTTTGCTGACCTAATCTTTATTATTAGGATTAGGTCAGCAAACTTTTATTTAGGATTATGTCAGTAGATCAGCCGGTTAATTGACGAGATTATGTTTCAGCTGGTGCAACGGCATATTTATTTATTTGCTCAAGATTCTATACTGCCAGGATTAAGTGGCGGATATTATGGCAATGAACAGCATAAAATCAACATTAAACCTGCATCCATTAAAAAATAAAAAAATAAAAACCCAGTCAGCCAAACTTTTTTGACTTGGGTTATTTATGTATGCCACTACGGTGGCCTGTGTTTCGTTAGCCCAAAAATGGAAAACGAGTCAGGTCCCGATCAAAGAAGAATGGCAACTTAAACTGATGTAATATGCACAGCTTGGGGATCTAACATATAGAATAAGAGAACAAGAAAAACATTCATTTAAAGAAGATTGGAAAATGTTTATTGATTATATGGGGAGAAAATGTGTACACTTGAAAACATTGGCAGCATTAAGATAAATAAGTGTAAATAAGTTTTGATAGAAGTACTAATGGAATACAGTGTAAATAAGTTTTGATGGAAGTACTAATGGAATACTGAATGGTTTAGCTTATATAAAATATGCAGGGATTTATGCTATGTAAAATGAGCCATGGAAAAAGAAGCAGGGAAATCACTGATATTTTAAGGTTGTGTAAATGAATATTCTAAATTGTAGAACAGAAAATTTAATAAAATTTTACACACACACACACACACACACACACACACACACAAATCAGTCAGCCAAATTAATACATGGGCATACCTTGATCACCCCTTGAAGAAAGCGTGATTTCTAAGCAGGTGCCTAAATGACAAAACTGTAGGTGCCTGCCTGGTGTCCCCTAGGACCACATTTCAAATGGCAGGTGCTGTCATACTCCAAAGGCCCTGGTCTTAGTGGCCACAAGATGAATCTCAAAAGCATGTGGCACTACTAGGAGTGACTGCCCCAAAGGAGAAAACATTCCTGAAGATTACCTGGCCCCAAGGACTTTACAAGCGAGATCTTAAACTTGGCACAGTAGCAAAGAGGCAGCCAGTGGAACTCTTTAAACACAATACAATTGAACACTGCCAATGCACACACACCCCAACAGCACCCTAGCTTTAGTCCTCTTTTCTAGCTGCAGCCTCAGGATCAACTTTAAGAGAAGTACATTGCAGTGGTCCAATATGGAGGTTGCCAGTGTTTGGGCTAGCATAGCTAAGTTGCATTTGAGTTTTTGAAAGGCTGTTCCAGATCTAGAGTGGTATTGTAATGGAGAATGGGGAAAAGGAAATGTTGAAGCGAATGGAAAGTGGAGAGTTTTCTTTTTTAAAAAAAATTAAAATAGTCATCGATCTCACTCCAGATCAGTTTTACTATCAGGATGAAAGAGATTCCGCTGGACCTTGCAAGGGGAAGGTTTTTAAATAAAGCTTCCCATGGCTAGGAGAGACATCTATACAGTGGTACCTCGGGTTACATACACTTCAAGTTACATACGCTTCAGGTTACAGACTCTGCTAACCCAGAAATAGTGCTTCAGGTTAAGAACTTTGCTTCAGGATGAGAACAGAAATTGTGCTCCGGCGGCACGGCGGCAGCAGGAGGCCCCATTAGCTAAAGTGGTGCTTCAGGTTAAGAACAGATTCAGGTTAAGAACGGGCCTCCGGAACGGATTAAGTACTTAACCCGAGGTGCCACTGTACAGTGGTACCTCTGGTTGCAAACGGGATCTGTTCCGGAGCCCTGTTCGCAACCTGAGAGGAATGCAACCCGCATCTGCGCACACGTGGGTCACGATTCGCCACATCTGTGCATGCGCGTGACGTCATTTTGCGCATCTGCGCATGCGCGAGTGTCGAAACCCGGAAGTAATCCTTTCCAGTACTTACTGCGGGACGCAACCTGAAAAGACGTAACCTGAACCGAACGTAACAATAGGTATGACTGTACGTGGGTCAGCTGACCTTGCAGATCTCCATCCGTGAGGCCTGCAAGTTGCACTTTGCATCTAACAGAAGACATGGGGAACGAAGCATGAGTCACTTCTTCCTCTGTTTGTCTGCAAATTAAAA